CGTAACTACGTAAGTACTGGGCTATAACAAACAACAACACAAAATGCTTGCGTCTTCAAAAGCGGTTCACCTCTTCAAAGGCATTATTTTTTACGCTTTCGAATATGGGAGCAATGAAGTCTCATCTAAGATGGCTATAGCTCGTATACACCACAGTAACTTAGAGGCAGCCTCTTTCCGCCCGACGTTTTTGATTGAGTAATCATAAGCTTCTAGAGCTTGTAATTCATCGCCTGCAGTGCTCGTGTGAACTACATCCTAAAACATCCACGAGTGTGCAGCAAGAGCTTAAATTGCTGCAGGCGAGTGTGATTGTGATTTTACTTCGCTTCTCAGGCCCCACGTGAGAGGTAAATACGAGATTTGTTCAGTTGACTGGTAAAGGCGAAGCAATTAGAGCTACATCTGATGTAAATGTTTAGAAGATGACGACGGATAATTGAAACGGCACACGGGCACCATTTACAAATGTTCTTGTCAGAAAGCGTCATCGAAAATGGTGGATTTTGTACGTCCTCTCTTGCACGTCGTCACTTTCGCGCCATATACATAGGGTCGTACAATACCAACGCATCCACTTGTTCACCCCCATAACAATTACAGCTCGTTTTCTGATATTGAGCTAACTACGTAGAGCTATCTACCTGTCTACCCTCCTGCCTTCTTTTTCGCTGTGTCACTCCCTTTCTGCACAACTTCATCGCAAAACGGGCGTCTTAAGTGATCTACTTAGGAGTACGTTTTGAAAACAATGGTGATGTTTAATGTACGTTAACATGTGGTAAATAGAACACAATTGTAATAACTATTGTAATTGTAATTGTAATCTCTAATACTTTTGATGTTACTATGCTTTGCTCTTGTTTATAGTTTATCATTTTTTTCTGTACACCACTCCCCTCTGTAAAGCTATGTGCGATTGAAGGTAAAATAAATGAAATGAAATGAAAAAAAGACAAATGGCAGGTTTATTTGTGAAAAAGATCTTAAATGTAAACATCCAAAAGATTTCATTGTTTTACGTTAAATTTTACATAAAAGGTCGTAGCTTTGCCGCAGGTGCGAAGAAATGTATGTGATAGGTAAACGTTTAGATTTCACACGAATGTTTATCGCCAATAGTATGACACCGCAAGTTGTTGCGCCTATGTTCGCGCTCACACACACACACACACACACCACACACACACACACACACACACACACACACACACACACACACACACACACACACACACACAACACACACACACACACACACACACACACACACACACACACACACACACACACACACACACACACACACACACACACACGCACGCACGCACGCACACCGACACACACACGCATGAACGCACACACACACACACACACACACACACACACACACACAACACACACACACACACACACACAAACAAACACCAAGAACGTTTGCTGTTCAGTTCCTTTTTATATTATGCTGTTCTTTCTAGTAGCGTAGCTGATGCTGATGCTGATGACCTTTGATCGATGGCGCTTACCCACAAAGGGGGATGGGCCAAGAACCGGGCGGCAGGATACTTAAATGAAACTAAACTGAAAATGAAGCCAATCTGAAAAAGTAGCTTAAAATTATACTACCAAAAAACAAAAATGTGTGCTGAGCAAGCGGTCAAACCATCTTTTGTTTTTGAAAGACATAACTACGAATCATAAACTAAAGATCTGAAAAGGTAGTGGTTCACTAGCATGGTAATCTTTTAGTTGCGTTGATGTAATCAAAGACAGCGGAGCATACATCCCTGTGGCAGTAACCAAATGAAGTTCCGCCAAGTGATAAAATTACTGGTAAATTTACTTGTATTCCGAGCTTTTGTAATGGGGTTACTAAAAATCTTTTTCTCTGATAAGAATAACGATGACAGAATAAAAAGAAATGTTCAATCGTTTTAATTTCGTTGCACCAAATGCATAGCGGTGACGCCTTGAGCTGAGCTTTATTAGGTAATAATTTAGTTGTGGAACTGCACAGCGCAATCTGGTATAAGTGACCTCTAACTGGCGAGATACACACCACTGTTTATTCCAGCAATAGCTCAAATGCTCGAAATCTTTATATTTATCCAAATTACCTTTTCCCCATTGCAGGCAAGCATTTCGGAACCTTAGCGTGGTTACGTAAGCCGTATCTGGCAATGAAAGATCTTAAATGTAAACATCAAAACTATTTCATTGTTTTACGTTAAATTTACATAAAAGGTCGTAGCTTTGCCGCAGGCGCGAAGAAATGTATGTGATAGGTAAACGTTTAGATATCACACGAATGTTTATTGCCAATAGTATGACACCGCAAGTTGTTGCGCTATGTTCGCGCTCACACACACACACACACACACACACACACACACACACACACACACACACACACACACACACACACACACACACACACACACACATGCACGCACGCACGCACGCACACTGACACACACATGCACGAATGCGCGCACACACACACACACACACACACACACACACACACGCACGCAGCACGCACACTGACACACACATGCACGAATGCGCACACACACACACACACACACACACACACCACACACACACACACACACACACACACACACACACACACACCACACACACACACACACACACACAACACACCAAGAACGTTTGCTGCTCATTTCCTTTTTATATTATGCTGTTCTTTCTAGTAGCGTAGCGTAGCTAACAAAGGCTAGCTTGCTTAGCTTCTACGCCTTTCCTTTTCGCTTTTCTTCTCCCTCTTTCTCGCAGAGGCCCAGAAGCATATATAAAGACCGTTGTAATTAAAGAAATAGTTTCATTTCATTTGTTGATTCTATAAGCCCTTTCCGCAGGGCTATTACAGAAGTGGAAAGTATCACAATTAAACAAAATGGGCATAAGCGAACTCTTCCCGGCTATCAGCGGCGTCATTTTCCAGCGATTATCTGCGGTGAATATTTCCGGTGACTTTACCTGTTAAGTAGTTTTTTTTTCATCATCACAAGTGTTCTCCCACGTGTTGTAGACGTTTACATGTTCCAGAATTTTCTCCATACTTCGCACTTTTCCATATGAAAGTCGCGGATCTCCGTAACGTTGTCGCCAGAAATATACACTGAAACGGTGTTGTCAGAAGTGTACTTGGGCCATGGGTGGTCTCCCGGAAGCATCGGCTCCCTGTGCACACAAGAGCAATGAATGATAATAATGGAGTGTTACGGTACTAGTTCCAAGCGGTACCAGTAAATATTCCAAAAGAAAATGACATGAGAAAATTACGTGAATTTAAAAAATTACTCACGTGAAAGCATCAGTTTCTTACTTAAGACAACGTGCTGTGTTTCACTCAGACGACAGCTAACTTATAAAAAACACTAACGCTACTAGTGGCAAGGAAAGTTCTGTATTGGCATAGCTTGCCTGTCTGTGTGACATAACAGTTCGTCTATAAGGCACCCTTCTGACAAGAAACTGGCGTACATGGAAAATCATTGCTCAGCACATAGGAGGAAACAAAAAGAGTCTTCTAGAAATAGGCTTACATCTAAAAGCGAGATGGTGAAAACACGTTTAGTCGAACGGGTTAAAACGCACCTAAATATTATAGGTATTTACGCTATGAGAGTGTATCTGGTACATATATATAAATCATATGTGTATAAGTATAAGTGCAGAAACATATATATAAAATATATGTTCCTGCGCTTGCTTCATGCTTTATTTAGTTGTATCCTGCTGTCGTTAATTTTTTTGGAAGAAGAGGTACGTATATTTCATTAAAACTCCGTAACTTTAGCCATTGTGGAAAGTGATACTTGGAAAAAATAAGCACACTGTTTGAACTGCAGAATAAAAATACTTGGGATTTCGCAGTTCGTTTCTTGAAATTTTGGCTCTTATATATGAGACCTCCAATGTCTACAATAGGTTATAGACGCTGACGTATTTCAAAAGGTGTCGATATCCTGAAAATAAATGTGGCTCTTTTTTTCATGGAGCTGGCACAAGTTCATAAGCGAAAAAATGTCATGACAGTTTTAATCTGAAAGGTTGTTGGTGTATGCAAATTATGGCACTCATGTCCACCGTGGTGCATCAATGACTACAGTGCTCGGCTACTGACACGAAGGTCGCCGTTTATATTCTATTCCGGCGGCGACAATCGCGTTTAGATGGAGGCAAAATTATATAGGCCCGTGCACTGTGCAACTTCAGTGCCCGTTGAAAAACACTAGATGGTCGAAATTTCTAATAATCGTACAGCCGTTTTGGGAAGTTGAACACCATCGGTTTTTGTTGACTTACCCGGTGAAAGCAAACGTCGACAAAGCTTTGATCTCCAGCTCAGACACACGCGCATCTTCAGCGGTAAAGTTGTGTTGGTCAACAAGAGGTCTACCAAACATGTAGTTAACGTCGTAGCTGTGGGGTATCCCCATCCATGAAGGCAGGGGATTTTTCTTAGACTGGTGACCAAACACGTAGGTGTACACCGACTGATTCCTGTTAGAATGTCCCGCAGCCGTGAAATGCATGGGACAAAAGAAGAGTGAATCGGATAGGTAGTCGGTGTAGGCACGCCTTAACAATTCATTGTCGGACGCTTCAGCTTTGTACACATCTAGTGGCTTGGAGAAATTTGTCTTGAGCCAGGGGTAGACTAAACTTCTCAAGGTGCGTTCCAATATCTTACGATCGATGTGATCGAGGTTGTTTGGAAGCGATCTTAGAGCTGTTGCACCCTCGTCCGATGTCACTCCGACCATGAAAGCAGCGGCGTTGAAGCGTCCTTGTTTGACCGCTGCACTCGGATCCATTGGAAAGAAATGGTTGGGATAAGAAGGCAGGAAGGGAAAGTTCTTGTGACTTATCACAGCGCTCATCTCACGTACGAGCTCTGAAGCATTTTTAGAGCAGAGACAGTCGAGAACGAATTCGGGGTCCGTAGTCAAGTTTCGCTCACTGTCTGCACAGCCTACTGCTTTGGCTACCAGGTCTCCTTACTTATACTGTCATTTGATGGCTCACAGAAGTCACGGCCATGCAGGGTGCCACTCATGAGATACCCTCTGGTGAAGAGTCCACTGCTCAAGGGAGAGATTAAGTGGCCGTGAACGCTCATCCCACCTGCGCTGTCTCCGAAGATGGTCACTCTCGAAGCGTCACCTCCATACTGGTCAATATTGGCACGAATCCATTGCAGGGCCAAGTTTTGGTCGAGGAAACCTACATTGCCGGGAGCCTGCGGTGTTTGCGCGTCCAGAAAGCCCAATAAATTGAGTCGGTAGTTGAAGCTCGCGACTACTAGACCTGTTCTGGCTGCAAGGACGACACCATTGTACCAGTCTAGAGCAGATGAACCACTGGTGAAGCCACCACCGTGGATCCAAACGAGCACGGGAACGACGTCTTTAGTGCGCGTTTGCGGGCTCCATATGTTCAGCTGTAGACAGTCCTCCGTGAGTGTGATGCCAGTATAAGCTTTGGGATTTGGTACGACCTGCGAATACCATAAAACAATCACGAGGGGTACCTGAGCATACTTCAAAGTAGTTACATTGACACATTAGATTCATTCGAATAAAAATTCAACACGGCATTGATGGGGAGTCAAGACCAGCATATAATATAGATGATTTTTGACTGCCACTAAAATATCAATTGTTGAAGATGTATTGAAAACGCACGTTACTAAATATTTCGTAAACTGTGATATTCGTAAAATATTTCGTAAACTGTGATATAAGTCAGCTTTAAGGATGGAGCGGTAAACAAAGTAAATGGGCGTGAATGTAGCTTATGCTCTGCATTGCGAGCACTTTGCTGGTGTTTCACATTAGAGACTATCTAGTCCTGTCATTTCGTCAAGCAAATGTCCTATATTTTTTAGAAAAACCGTAACAGAGCTAACAAAACATAAAAATAACACCTCACTGCAACAATATTAGCACAGAATAACCACTCTATACAGAGTGCAGTTAGACGCATTGTGGAATCTTCAAGAGGCCCTGAACACTTTTTTAAGTAACCACAAAATAAATTCACTGGAGGAGCTTCTTGTCTCACAAATTCGACTCTGCTAAAATTTTAGTAATCCGATGAGTCCGAATGGAGGTACAAAGATTTGTTCCATGCTGCAATTGCATACTTTCTTTTCCTCGTCCCGTTGATAGCGCTGGTATCTAAGCAGGGAGGGATGACAGCGGCAAAAAAAAAAAAAACACACATCAGGCGCGCCTCGTGTCCTTGAGCACTTTTTAAAGACCATAGTCGTTCTTGGAGACCTTCGACGCAAAAATATTGGTCTCTCTGTTTTTCTGTATGTTTGTACAATTGTGTTTAGAAAAAGTGGTTAACGATTTAGAGTACTCGGTACTCTACTATGGGAGAGCTTATTGCCGTCCCTAAGGCGCACTTTGCAGCACTGCTGCAGGATGAATGTCTGTTTGTACACAGTAACAATACTCTGAACGGCGCCAAACGATACCTCAAACGACCAACCCCATCCGCAGCGCCCACCAATATTGCTCAAGGTTCAGCGTTCATGCTTGTGTGATTATCAATTAAAAAGCAATTATTGCGCAGATCTAAGGCACCATAAAACAACGCGTCGATGTTTCATATTTGTGCCTTTTTACTAATGAAGGAACACACAAGTAATTTTAGAGACCGTAGCATTTATCACGCTGCGCTACCAGTGCAACGCGATGCTGAAAAGGCAAGTGTTTCCAACGCTTTGATGAGACGACACGGTGGTGGCCCCTGCCCGTCGCTTTGTGTTCTACTCCTTATCGCCTCCCAGCCAGGCGAGGCGCACACGTTTCTCCGCGGGCACGCATGACTTCCTTCGTTTTCGGAGATAACTGCCAGATGGCGCTCGTGTCTAACGTGCCTCGATGCGCTCGTTCACCTTCGCTGCACGGATCAAGACTGTCTAACGCAGCGCTTTTATAATACAATTGACCAATATTTGCTCACGCAGAACATTAAATGAACGTTTTGTTCAGTCTCTTCACACGTAAGAATATCGTCTTTGGACGACATTTGGAGTGAAACATGCAGATACGGGGCAAATTTTATGTTTCTTTTTTCTGTGTGATCGCGCACGCACGCGCGTGGGAATCTATGAAACAACCGAGCGCGTCATGTTCAAATCAGCCCATGGCTGGTAGATGGGCTTTCCAGGAGTGATTTTTGAGTGTCTTCCGTCATTTGTAGAGAGAAGAGAAAGCAATCTTCAGCTGACTTCAATATTCTTATTGTGAATTATAGGCCACGTGCACGCGCTATCAAATTTAGCTAGCGAGAGCCTTTACTACCGATCGGCAGCGTTTTCTGACCATGCTGAAAAAGTGTGGCAGGGCCCTTCTATATTTCTAAAACATATTGCTCTCAAACCCTCGTCGTCTCAAATAGCTGGATTGTTTGTAGTTCTTGTGACATTCCTGGTGCGGAGTGCTTATACAGGTTTCTACAAAGTCACGTACTGCAGATCAACCACTGCATCGGCTAGTTGGGCTGGTTGCACTGAATTTTTATCTAATAATTGGGCTTGCGTGAATACACTCCTAAACGTAAGAATAATATCTACAAAATTATCAGCTCTGAACGTCACTACACCGACTTCAGCTGTTACAAGGACGAAGCTTACGCATATGTCTGGGGGTTCCACAGGCAACATCAAGTTCTTTGACACTGGCAGAGGCAAGAGAACTCAACTTTACAGTGATTAGAAATGTGGAGACATGTCGGCACCTCTTTCGTCCAGTCACGCAACACCCTTCCCACCCGCTCATATCCAACATCGTGAACCGTGCTGGAGCGCTAATACACCATGTGTACGAACAGTACATTTGCCGGCTTCCTGTTGGCTTCCTACATTTCCCGGCTTCCTACATTGGCCACTGGACCAAAACTATTCTCCATGGCTGCTTGTGCTACCAACTATTGAAACGTCAATAGAAGAACTTCGGAGCAAGCATGAAGTACCAACCGTTGCCGTTCAGCAGTTGGCATGACATCATCTGTTTGACAGGTACCAAGGATACACTCACGTGTACACTGACGGCTCCGTCACCAAAGAGACAGTACATCAGCATTCCTAATTCCGGAATTGCACGAAGACTATGCATGTCGGTCGGGCCACCTCTCTTCTTCAACAACGTCGGAGCTCGTAGCGATTTTGCTAGCCATAAGCTTTATTAAACTGTCAACGACACCAAGAAAATGGGTGGTAATTACAGACTCTCTGGCAGCACTGGCATGTGTGGAAAGTGTCGCTTCAAGACACATTGATGTGCGCATAGTATACGCTATACTAAAAGAGCTCTCAGAAGCTACGAAGTCGAATCATCGAGTGGCATTTCAGTGGGTTCCCAGTCACTGCGGAATTAAGGGAAATGAAATAGCGGATGAGTTGGCGAAAACCGCTCATAATTCTACGCAAACGAGCCTCATACCTGTATCTCAATATGATATAAATAGAATTTTAGGAACAAGAAAACGTGTATTATGCCTGTCTACCTGGTTCACAGACAAAACAAAGGAAACGATCCTATATTCTGTTGATCCTAATCTTGAATACCAAATGAACCGTGACCTCCCAAGACGTATCGACACACTCATTCATCGCCACCGACTCGGAACTGCTTACACAAAGCACTTCCTACTTCGTATTCATCGTGCAACATCGTCAGCATGTTCATGCGACCACGACGACAAGGATATCTGTCACCTTTTTGATCGATTGTCCGAAACACGACACACACTGAAGGCGACTAGAACAAAAACTCCATAGGTTAGATCCTGAGCGACCATTCGGGTTGAATAAAATACTAGGTCCATGGCCATCCAAAACAAGCGGCAAAGCAATGAAGGTGCTGCAACAGTTCTTCGAAGAAACGAAGATTTGTGACGAATACTGAGCGGACAAAAGTTAAAAGCGAGCGTGTGGTCTACGTGTTTGTTCTGCCTATATAGGAGAACTTTTGCTCTCACCGATGTAGGACTGTATATATGTATATATGCTATTTTTTCATATCTTTATTTGTACCAATTAGGTGGAAAGGGGTAGCCGTCGCCAAGTAACGGTGACAAAAACTCCTTCGTTTATTTTCTACTTTAATAAAAAAATCAGCTCTGAAGTTTTCTTTTTTTCTCCATATTTAAGTGAGGAAGCCATATGCAATATTTGTGTTGCTCAACGTTCGTACCTGCGGACATGCTGTCCTTTTGCTTCTGGCGTCCAGCGTGCCATTCCATGGTCCGTATGGTCGTGGTGGCCTGAAACGTAACGCATTCAGAGGAGGATGGGCGTATGGAATCCCACGGAACTCGTCCACTGTGCGACCTAGTACTTGAAGCTGGTTGCCTTTGATCCATCCTAGCCGTGTCTTTTTCAAGACGTCAGAGGCAAAGCAACAAGGTATCACGGTGAAGAGCATAAGCATAGACGCCGCCGTTCCACCCATTTTTTTTTCCTTTGACAGCCTTTGTGCTGAAGTCAAAAAGAAAAGAATGGCAATAAAGTCTTCATAAATACAGTATCAACGTGTATGTTAACATTAGTCTCATTGTAATCACTTAGAGAGTTTCAGAATTGGGGGCCCAAGACACTGGTACGCGTACTGCGTTGCGTAGGTTGCTGATGCATTCAAAGAACCAGTACACTTTAAGAATTGGGTCAAAGGCAGGCTGCATTGGGTCAAACACACAGGATGCCACACTTGGGGCATTAAAAAATCAGTAAGAGGTGGACCATACTGCATCGAGGTGCGTGTTGTGTCTGTGTCATCTGCCTCGCGACGCAAGACGGCTTGGGGGCCTACGATAGTTTTCTTTTTTTTTTAATTTTTGAGCCTCCGTTCAACACGAACGCAAAAGTCCAAGGGTGGCTTGAGTGCTTAGCATGCGCCCTAGCGGGTCGCAAACTTTTTCAGTCCCCAAGTTCTATAGGGCTCCAATTCTCAAACTCTAATAAATCATTATATCGAATTCAGACGGGTAAAACAAAAGAAATGGAGATATATCAAACTGCAATAGCACAGACACAGGCACAGACACAGTTTCAGGAAATATACTGTTTTTTATAAATTTGTTGCATAAGAAAAACGTAAACAATGCATCCAATAGCTTCAAATAGAAGCACAGGACGCATTTTCACACCACTTGATCGGACACATCATATTATGTGATTTGTGAAAACACTTGTAGACGACGCAAATAAGACTGCAAAAATTAATGTCCGTGTTTGAGATTGCCTGCGTCAGTCATTCTTGACTTATTTATGCGACGGCGTGATATCCTCAATGCATAACTAGGTTGACGTTGTATTGGGAATTTGTGATCACCTCATTGTTTATTCGTTTTTGCCGATAAGGATTTCAGCAAGCATTCTATGTCAATACTTGTGAACTCATCCTAATTCTTTGATCACGGTACGAAAGAGTGCTGACTGACATTTAAAAGAACTTCGCACTTTTGTGATAAATGACTAATATGACTAAAAAAATTAGACACTTCTCCCTACAAAGCATATTATTTAAGTTTGTGTGGATTGTTTAAGACACTGGTGACGCAGTGGCAGGTTCCGCAAGACTACTTCACACATTGGTTCCTCACTTTTATAATCCCTTCAGAATGTTTTTTCCGAATATATATACATACGCGATAGCTAAAATATGCATAAATCATAACATATTACCACTTGCGAACATTGTAGGGTCACTCACCACCTAATGTAATAATATTTAACAGAACAATGCTATTTATTTTTTTCGCAGATGACGCCCTCCACTGGATATATCACCACGGTCACGGCTTCACGACTAGCGCAGACAACGTATGACTGGAAAATTTTCGTTCGCAGATATCCTTATTTGTTCCTGATAGTTCTGTATGTTTCAAAGATTATCCTTTAAATTGCAGAGTTCAGGAAGGTAATTCACATAGAAACAACTTGAATAAAAGATCTGGTTCTCCACAAAATGATAAACGATATTTCAGCCACATCTTTTCGAGTTCTTTTTTTCATGAGTCACCTAATAACAACTGAAAAATACTTCCTCTTGCATGACGTAGAATTGAACATTGTTGTCTAGATCATAGAAGTTAATTTTTATGTTGACGCGAAAATAGCTACGGCTGCACTGCTAAATATATATTATTTCCTTTATTCCTCGTATTCTAGGTTTCAAAACTATGTAGCCCAATTACTGCTAAAGCTTTCTAACTAAAGTTACGATAATAACTGAACAAACTATTTTCAAAGGCTATTATATTACGAAGTTGTAAATTCTAACAAGGACACTTTGCATCGTGGTTGCTAGGTAAAAAAGAAAAATTGAAGGAGGCCTGAGATTCTCCTTTGTTTAGGTCGTGATAGCGTAATCGGGCCTCGTGCGCGCCATTTTTTGATCTGCTAGCTTGCTTCGGTTCTCGGTATGCCTCAACTGCTTGGTAAGGAAACGAACTCCTGCTCGCGTAACACTGATCATTTCAAAGTGTCTCTGAATGTCTATTGCAAGAACTACTGTTGAGTGCGCACAGCGCCATAATAATTCCTTTAGCCTATCAACGAAGAGTCCAGGATGGGATCGTAGGGCTACACTCAAGCCTAAGCAGCAGTTCACATTGCTGGTGGTTCTGGTGCTGATGAATATGCCTGAGTGCATTGTAATAAGTAGGTTTTTAAAACACCCATTCTTTGCTGTGTTCGCACATTTTGACGCCTGACTTGAATTTACCGTTCTGCCACGAAATATATGATGCGTTAAGGGAACTCCTTTCAGTACATGGGATTTATTAGCGTGTTACTTTTTTGTTTCATAGAGCTTCATGAAAGAAAAAAAATAGTGTGGCTCTTTGAAAGAACCCCTATTTGTCATTAAGGTAGCCTGGGTTCTATGCTTATTCAAACCTCGAAATTTTTAGCGTTTAATTTATTTGCATCTTTTTCAACATTGTGCATGGTCACGGACGAAATGATTTTTTGCTCACCACCAACGACGCCCAGGCCTACAGCGATGCCCACGCAAGAATTTCTAAAAAACGAACCGTTTAAGGCTATTGTCCTGACATTAGACTCGACCACAACAATTATCCTTTCTAGTCACCTATACGCCCCACCCGTATGTTCACTTTTCTTGAACAAGCATGAGGTGAACGATATTCAATCCATGGTGGTGTCGTTCGTAGTGGTAATTCAAATAATAACAAGGTAAGAAGCATGAGATGCGCTTACCTTCCGTCTGATGGCCAGGGAGAGACGCTGCTTGCGAAGCGGGGGAGGAGAAACTAAACGCAAAGAAAATCACGCGTTACCTCAGCAGGCGATCCTATGTAGGGTACAATATGGCACGTTGCAAGTTTTGTTTCCGATAGTACGGGCGCATTTCCGATAGCAGGATGCTTGACGCCGTTGTTTGACCTGACAACGATAACTGAAAAGCTTCTGCGAGACATGCGTTGAGCAGCCACTCACTTTATGGAACTGCCTGCTTTACGTTCTCTAGCTCGGTCTATCTGCTCGGTCTATCAGTAGTCCACTAGGAAGAGTCACTGCACTTTTGAGAACCACTCTCCGCCCCTTCTTCACCGAACGGAAGCAAGGAGAGTATAAATGAATGCAATACCTTAGCTGTGCAAATCCTTGAAAATCTTGTAGTACTGATAATGTTCTGTAATTATTCAGCTCTGTATATACCTTACTTTCTAGTGATCTCGTACTCAGCCCCTCTGACTAGTATGTTACGAGTTTGGTGTCTTATTTATTTTATTTTATTAACTTATTTAACAATAGTGCCAATCTCATCAGAGAATATAGCAGGAAGGGCATATGAAAGCGAATATTTGTTTACACAAAGTCATACTGATGGAAAACTCAAGAAAAGGCCTGAATTACAAAATGACATAAAAATCACAGATTATACATTGCCGGTAAAGAACCCACAATCAAACAATTTTAGTAATAGCAAAACCAAGAAGTAGGTTATTGTTTAAAAAGACTGTGAAAAGATAATACATGCATTTGTAATATGGGGTAGGGAGAACAAGTAGGCATTTTTATTAAATAACCTATTCAAAACTTGTTATGAACAATAAGCTAATAAAAAGATGTCACTTGAAACATAACGATCATGAAAAAAAACCCTTTTATTAGTAACATGACACTAACTCTTCGTTTGTTAGGTTTATTGATGATGTGATGTCGTTAGTGCGATTTGCGAGGCAAGCAATTTGCTTTCAACCGCAGCTGTAAACAAGTTTATGGACAATTCAGTGGTTAAGGTGGGTTTCAGTGAGTTCCAATCTTCAATCGTTAGAGGTTATATACAAGATGTACTTACTGGGAAAGACACTGGTAAGAGTCACAATAGCTGATACACTCGCACTCCTTCCAGTTTCTTGCATACCTCGTTTACGGCCTAATTTTTGTCATCATCGCCTCACCAAGTGTGAGGCCCATAGGACGGCTTTATGCTTTCCGATAGTGGAGTACCAAGTATACTCTAAATCGTCAACCACTTCTTCTAAAAACAACTGCTTCTGCCCTTTGTCATCTTTCACTTCATGTCCGTAACAAACCCTGTAACAATATATTTGATTTTGCTGCATTAAATCTAGTATCTTCTAATGTTATCACCTAAGTCATGTGATGCTATATTCCCCCCAAAAAAAGCAGTGGCAGAATACATGGCTGTGATGAAAGTTCACAAACCAGAACCAGTATGCTCTCTCCCTCGCATTTTTTACAGCTTTCATCAATGCCCTTACCGCATTATTTTCTATAGTAAAGTGCGATAAATTAATGTAGTATTCAACATGGTTGAATGATCGACATGTTCGTACATTCTAGTCGAAGGAAATGGCGGTGGTTAAAAAAAGACACTTAAGCACAGACGACACAAGCAATAACTTCTTACATTGTGTTTACTTTAACATTTGCACAGCTATATAGCATACGGAAATCATTATATGACATACCGTGCGCGCCTACATTAATTTCAAAAAAAAGAAAACGATAGTTATATTAACATTGGATACACATGATATGGAACCCAAAAACATAGGTCCGCAAAGCTTGTGGAGCTCTCTCTCACTCACTCATTAAACATATTTTGCGCTTTGTGCTCATACGCCTGTCACAAGGGAAATCTAATGCCATTTGCAACAAATGACATTAAATGAACCTAATGTAATTTTTACCTGCGCGCTGTCAACTACGAAAACAAATTTCGTTTTAAAATGATGACCATGACACAAGCCCTTAAAAGCCGCGGCTCTGGGAGAAATAAAGAACTATCAAATATTGTATGTAACACGTTCGTACTCTCAAAAATAACTTTAGTATCTCTGAAAAATTGCTGCAGAAATATATGCGTAGCCATTTTCCAGCGTCCAGTGTCTCTGTGGAACGCGCCCTGTGCCTCCGACGGACTCATCTAGTGTCTTTTGGAAGAAGGCCTGCAAAGAGGGCGAAAAAGCACTGTCCAAAGCGTAGCGCGTTCATAACAACACCCAAAACTGGAACACCTCGACTATCACCGAATACACTTTGCCATTTCTTTTAGCTCTCCTGAGGTCACCAATGTGATCCTGCCCAACTTTAATTTAAACAAACGTCTCCGTTTCCGTCCGTTGTACGCGGTCTCTGCAGCTCCAGCTCACACGTCACAAATGCGCGTGTGAATCTCGGCAGATAAACTCAAACAAACCGCATGGAACCGTCTTTCGAGGGAACTACGACAACCGTGACGACAACATAGTGAACTGAAACGTGGCCACCATCTAGCATTTGTAGCTCAGCCCAATTTTTTTAGCACAGACATTTGGGTGGGCTGTAATGTCCACAAGTAAACTATTGACTAATATAGTAAAATAAACTACTAATAAATTAAATTAGTGCCATATACATGAGCCGATCGCGACCTTTCTAAGAAACTTCGGACGTCGAGAATACTCATTTGGTCCGAAACCATATGCGAAAGAGATCTGTGAACTCATTCGATGGCAAATGTCATTTTCATCGAAATACTTTCCGTTCGAATAAAGGTACAAGAAAGATGCTGCTTGGGAAGTGAGAAAGAACAAACTAAATGTAAAATTATGACGCAGTGGCAGACATGTTCAACCTACATAGCTCGCATTGTGCTGTGTCTATGTGGTGCTGCTTCAGATAATGCGAGCGCGACAACCGACTGCTTTACGCCATTTTTTGATCTGATAACACTCTTTGGCTGCATATCGCATTCTTCATGTAGGCTTCAGTGGCATAAAGAGTGTCAGATTTTCATTTCCCGACGAGAAGCAACCTAGGAAGGCGAGGCCGAAGGAAAAAAAAAACAATTTAAATTTCGACTTTACTATCGTATTGCACAAAACAGCGTACAAATGTTCACAAAACCCATGTGCGGCGAAGAATAGCATGACATGTGCTCGGGTTGTATTCCTTCCCTCTCAGGCACAAATGGGGAGAAGGAATGTGTGACTTGTTTATTTGATGGGTAACTGCAATGCCACAATAACTGCTCTTGAAAGCATGATAACAACACGAGCGCTCTGTTGTCCACTTTGCCTTCCGTACCTCGACTTTCGTCTGTTTCTTCTGGCACATTCGTGCTCGCGCTGCAACCCTTATTATCATGAATGTGAACCAACTAGCCCAAATCGCCATTCTTCTTCAATGCTCTTCAAAGGATGAACGTTTAACTGTTATCAGATGAACTGTTAGTCCTCAGTTGTTTTTAGGAATAAAATGTCACGGAGTAAAAGTTACCCTTTTATAAGAGGAAGTAATTAATTCCTCTTTGTGCATTGCGACTGCGTATGGACGAACTGTCACTCCTGGTGGAAATAACAGTAGCTAGTTTTTGATAAACAATCATTTCTTACAGTTTCTGGTTCAATTATCAAGTATTCGGAGGTCGACGTATGCATTTTACTATACAATGAATACACAAGAAGTGAATTCTGAAGTAAACAAAAAATTCACTACCACTAAGCGGGAATCGAACTCACGACCATTGAATCAATAGTCGTCTACGCTAATCACCATACCACAGCCCAGTACATAGCAGAGGGAATATTGCCGGGGCATATGTAGGCACCGTCAGGACGCCACGCGTTGTGCCATGTTGATCAAGGTAGCAAGATTCCTCATAGTAGTTATAGGTCTTCAGTGCCTGGCAAGTAACCATTCGTTGATGGCGTTCGTTCAAATATAAAAAGCGTTGAATAGGTATTTCTGCGCGCGTGCTCCGAGCGCAGTTGCATGCTTTATGAGTGTGTGTATATTTAGGTGTTTCCATTATGTCGCCGTGGCTTTGTGAACCTTGCTCATTTTTCATAGTACAGAGCATGGTTGATTACGCCATTCAGTTAACACTTCTTTCACCGCACAAACTAGATGAACACGTTTAAACAAACAACCAAGATTATTCAGTGGCTCGGGCCAATGAATAAACGTGCGTACACATCGTGCGTACACGTCAATTCATCACACTCTTCTCATGATTACAATCGATAGGATCAATTCCCTAATTTCTAGGAGATACAATGAAAAGTGCAATGTTTTATTAAAATGAACGCTCTCCAGTCGACTTCATGAACTGCCCCTGCACCATCGACAGCTGCTGCGAGCATGTTTGTAGCTGCAAGATCTTGAGTTTTTTTCGGTTCTCGGAAGGCCAACGCTCTCAGTCATCGATTTTCTCAAAAATTAATTCCGGAAGCATTTTGTTGAACCAATTTGAGTGAACCATTGAAAATCCCCTACATATTCTACTTCATGAGTCGAATAATTTTATGGCTGCCTTGGCACACCATTGTTTCTTGTGAATTTTCGCGAAAGTCAAGGGGTGATTGCTGTTTCTTTTTTACGCATTGTGTTCATATCATGTTGCGTTGTATTCGCGTGTAAATAATTTCTTTTCTTTTCTTTTTTGTTCTTATGCCTCTCCTGCTTGGGCCACAGTATTTACCTGCAGTGTCTTTAAATAAATAAAAAATGAAAAAATATTTCTGGCAGAATAGTTCACACACTTTTAGTCATGTTCCATTGCGTCTGTATTGAAATGCCGCACGCGTTAGAATTAGATGACGTCTGCTCTTTCACAGAACCTGTCATAATGCAATCGAACAGGTAGGGACGTGTTATGATGTTCTATACGCCCGTTCTCAAGTTTAACGCGTCAAACTTTCCCAGTGATACACTTGTGGGCACACTTACTTATTAATCAAACTTGTGCTTCATTTTAGAGATATAATACTGAAACCCAACCAGAATCGCTACAAAGGAGTGAAGTCGCAGATGCGGTCACCAACTGCCTGGGTTAGCGGTGCCAAGTATTTAGCTAGCTACGCAATGGTAACAGTCAACATTTTTAAAGTACTTGCTTACCTTGAAAAAGACGACATTGTGCGGAGTTTCAGAAATTAAAAAAAAATCGCGAAAATTTATTATCAACATTGCTGATTAGTGCTTCTCTGAGAACAAAACAATATTGAAGAGCTGAACTTGCTAGAGGTAATGTTCATCCATAATCGAGGCTACCACATTTCAATGATCTAGCCATCATGCTTGTAATGCCATAAAAACTGAGGCAGCACTCGCAACGCTGCACAGAACGAGCTCATCAACCACCAGATTTTGTTCACGAAGAACGTGAACGCTAAACATGTGGTGACCATAACATATTAACAGAAAACTGGTAAAACTTTAGAGAGGGATGACAGCTTCGCTTTGACTCACCTCTCAGGTGACATCCCAGTCGGCGCGCAGCATTTCGATCGCGGGTTAGCTTGCTGAGAACATCACACTGCGCATTGATACAGCTTGAGCGCGGGCAATTTTTTTTTTCGTGGAAGGGGACGGGGGGCGTTTGCAACTGCTTAGTTTTTGGGCTATATAGGCAACATTACTTTGCTTCTGCCGTATTCCCGTAGCTGTCATGACCATTTTCGCTAAAGCAGACTGCTAACAGTTTATTTATTTTAGAAATTGTTTGCTTAAGCACATACTGACCATTCCTCTAAGGCCACCACTGCGCCGAAAATTTCCATGGGAGTAATCGTTGCTCCGTATGATCTAACAGTTCCTCCCCGAGTTAGCACTTTCATCTTGCAGTTAAATCCTCCTCGAGCTAACTGTTAATTGCGGGGACAAAATGCAGCACTTACTCTCATTTCGCTATTTTGTGACTTATAATGTGCGGGTATAGCAGAGCTAATTTTGCTTCAAAAATAGCTTCCAAGGTCATATAAATCAACGAAACGCATTAGAATAGCGAAGTAGTGTACCTTGAAGGCAGTATAAAATCAGAAGTCCTCAGCACATATATCTATAAATAATATTTCATTGATAGCGTTCAAAAACAGCCAGTCTGCCTACTATTGTTTCTTTCTAACAACCCATTCATTACTGAGAAGCCATAAAGAAAATGGCAAAGCGAAGGAAAGCTGATTGATAATAGATTGATAGGTGGGGTTTAACGTTCCAAAACTATCATATGATTATGAGAGACGCCGTAGTGAAGGGCTACGGAAATTTCGACAACCTGGGGATCTTTAACGTGCACCCGAATCTGAGCACACGGGCCTACAACATTTCCGCCGCCAGCGGAAATGCCGCAGCCGGGATTCGATCCCGCGACCTGCGGGTCAGTAGCCGAGTACCTTAGCCACTAGACCACAGCGGTGGGGCGAGTGGCAGGAAAACTGATTCCGTGCGCATCGAAAATGTACAAGTTTGTTTTGCCCGTAGTGCTTGCCAACGCTGTCACCGCCTTCGGTCCTTGGAGAATTCATTGAATTTTTCCTGTTTTCGGAACACTAATCCCTGTATTCTAGAACACCCCTTCACTCAACGCTCCACCTTTACTTGAGAAAGCTGATGGGAGGGCCGTCTCTAAGCACGGCAAGTCCCTGCATATCAGCGACGATCGTCTGCGATTCTTAAGTAGCGCAGCGCCATTTTTAGCCAAGCCACGGCTCAGTGCTCAGCTATGTCAAGTAAAGGGTGATAGTTGAGTCGACGAGTGTTTGTGAATACGTGCGTAAGCTTCGAACCAGATTCTAGTTGTTCGCGCAAGGTACAAGAAAGAAGCAGCTCGCACCTTCTCAAACGCTGTTTCGGGAGATAAGCCAGCAGGAACGACACGAGCGGACACACCGGCAGAGTTGGCGGCGGATTCAGCCGCCTTTGCAAAAGAGAGACACGCTGGGGAATGCCGATCCACTACTGCTGCGCCGTGAACTTCTAGTGCTCTTGGCGATCGTAATCCAAACCATGCTCTCGATGAACGCGTCCTCGTTGAGACCATGAAGCTTCGTTGTGCTGCACGCGTCGTTTGCAATTCGATCCGTTGCGAGCTACCACCGACACTTTCCGCCATGTTGAGTCTGTGGCCGGCTCTTCGGATGACGTGGCTTTAGATAGTGCAGCCAAAGCCGTGTGGAAAGACTATCAGCTTTCGCGTGGTGCAGAAGTCGATCTCGGACCGATTTCTTCGCGTGGGCCTACTGGTGTGGCTTTCCGGCCGCTTAGGCGGCGAGGCGAGTGAATCGGCGAGCTTTGCCGCCTTTGCTGCCTTCGAGGCCATACGTGAACGCGCTTTAAGTGTGACGGGTGCAATTAAATGCAAAGTTTCATTGCGACAGCGTTAAAGTGCTTGTGTCGCAGACCACTCTCTGGATTTCATGCCGACCCGTTGTGCCCCCGTGATATCCGATGACAGCACGGATCTGGCCGACTGCCTCGCCCTACGCCATTTCCTGCCGCCGACAAGAGCACTCGCCGAGTGGTGCCCCGCCCTCGGACTCCTGCGACTGTGTCCATCTTTCCAATCTCTCCTCTCTACTTCCGTTGTTTTCTGTCGTTCACTGTCCCCACGCCTCGCTCTCTCTTTCTTCTCTCTATCTAATTACCTTTTAATCCTATCCTTTTAATCCATTCTTACCCCCATCCCTCGTGAGCTACTGTTGAGGTGTCGCGCTCGGAGGCAGATAGTTACGGGGCTCACTTTTCTCTTCTTTTCTTTTAAGAATGACAGAATCACATAAGCTCACGTCGCAGAAAACGTGCCACCGGCGGCGGCTCCGTTGATTTAGAACGAAAAATCGTCTGTGCATTTGTGACCGAAAAATCAAGTTAAAGATATAGCTGCAGCAGGCTGCTACTTGTCCACGCGTGCGCGCGATCACACTGAAAAAGCCGCTCATTCGAAAAAAAAAAAGTGCTCAAGGTCATGAGGCGTGGCTGTATTTTCGCCCTGCCACCCCTCCCTGTTTATCTTCCAGCGCTTGTGTCAGGACGAGAAAAGAGATAATGCTATTGCAGCATGCGACAAACCTTTGTAACTCCACTCACCCTGAACGAATTCTTAAAACTTTTTTGTGGTGTTGAACTTGCGAGGCAATACGCTATTCTAGTGAATTCAATCCATGTTCACTTGGAAAAGTGTTTCAGGGCCCCTTTAACGCATTTTGTTCGACAGGTGTCACAAAGAAAACGAGCCCATTAGGCGATAATAGCGCGTGCTGGTCCAACCTTCTGTAAGCGTGTTTGTGCGTGTGCGTGTGTATGTAACAAAACATATGAATAAGTATGCACTTAGTGGTTGAAGGGTGCACTAGGGGCCAGATTTCGCTTTCGCGTTCAACTCTTAAAGGCGAAGCTTAAGGGTCCCCCATTTTTTTGTTTGCGTACTGCAAGCATTTTTGGCGTCTATCCGCGTATCTATTTATCTATCTAGCCACTTACGTATGGGTGATCTCGTGATCACCCCTCAACTTAGCGTGAACCAAAGTTTGTAGAGAGGGTAAGATGGTTTAAGGAATATGATGTGCTGTTCGATACATGAATGATGTTATAGTTTTGTCGTGTACCTTGTCAAACACTTTCCGCGAAACAGTGAAGCATACCAGCGGGCGTGTATATGGCACTGGTATGCGGGTATGTGCCACTTGTGATAAACACTTAGTATCTACCCAGAAACAACGAGAATACACATGCGAAATTTTAACACGCGAGCATTAGGAAAACCTGATATCGGCAGCGTTGATGCGACGAATACAACGAATAAATCTCAGGGTCCCAGCAGGAATCAAACCCAAGTATTGTGCGTGGCAATCAAGCATTCTACTGCAGAGCCACGCAAGGTCTCGGAACTGCTCTTCAAATATCTAATCTTCATGAAACGCCCAGTGTGGTTGCAGTGATGACTATTCGATTTGGGAAACACTACATATGTACTCATAGGATTCAGCTCTTCACGTCAGGTTAACGTGAGTTGTGGTTGGCTGCGATGCGCTGAAGATGATTTATGCAGAAGTGTTCATAGCTACCATCCTCGTGAGCACCAGCGCTTCACATCAGCTTATCACTTCTGGTGTTGCTAGTACTCAGGTTCCTGTGAGCATTGTTGCGCGAAAGCAAAGGACTGGTTATATAAACATCTGCTAGTCTTCAACATATGTCTGTACTTGCAAAATTCGTAAGTATATTTATATTTTGTATGATTTCATAACGGTGTCCCTCAACCAAAAATTACAACATGGTCACCACTACTTCGCATAACCTCGATTCCCAAGGTGTATACATATATATGTGGAATCTGTCGAATTAATTAGTATTTATACCTATTCATTTGTCGTAGTTCATGTCATTTAAAAAATTATGTGGTATGTCTAATCATTATTGTCGTGAGTTGCCAGCGAGGCTACGGGACGAAAGATGTTTACGAAAAATGTTGTACTCGAAGTTCAAAGGTGGCTGCTGAAGTAACAGCGCACTGAAGCGAGAGAAATTTTATTCGCTTACTACACGGCAACTACAGCAGGAGCATTGAATACGGCCCGGGCTAGGCAAACACCCGAGCGTTCCGCCCACGAACAAACACAGCGTGCAATAAAGTCTAGAAGACCATTGGGAGGCGTCGTTGACGTCGGGGAACCCCGAGGACCAGCTATGCCTGGTGGAAAGCGCTCGGTCGTCGGCGCTACTAGCCATGGCTACATGGAATGCGGAAGTCACCCACGTCTGTGTGAAGACATCGCGCGCCTGGTCACAAAGAAAGTTTAATTACATTAACAATAAAGTTTTCTGTATGCTTCCCAACGTATGGTATCTTTAGAGGTGAAGTGTGACCGATTGTAGCACTGAAAGTCCTTTCAAAAAGGAAATAAGCTTTCCTTCCTACTTTTTGAACAAGCGCCTTTAAACATCCACTGTCTGGGACACTGTCTGTAGCAAATGAGCGAACTTTGCCCTCTCTCGATGGTACATGGAGCTTACCCAATGGCAAATATTTTGAAGGTTGTCACTGGCAAGTCTGTGATGGATTCTTCGCAGATTAGTAGCCATTTGAACGAAAATTCACGACTTTCGTAGTTTTGTGCTGTTTTAAACCGACTTAGTTGACCACCCCCAAGAGCTCCGCTGGCATAGCCTGCCAGCCATTTTCAGCCGGAGGCAGCGTACGAAAAATCTTTGAAATTTGTGATGGCAAGCTATCAGACATTTTTATTATTACTTCCATGAATCGGCCTTGATTTCCGACCATGGTGCCAGTGTACTTCGGGTGGCATTTATCGCCGACATGGCACAGAAATATCTCCACTATGTAATCTACAGGATGAAGAGGTGGCACATCGGCTCAGAGGCGTAACGGAGCAGCCGCGTCGAAAAGTTCTTCATGTTCGTCTTCTTTTCTCTAGTTGGATATTCGATCATGGAGGCTGGCAGCACAGAGGCTTTAGCCACAGGGGTACTCGCGATGTCGTGTGTGGTTTTTTACGCGAGATAAACTAAACTAAATGCTAAGATCATCCGTCCGTCCGTGTTTCTGCCCGTCCGTCCGTTTGTTCTAGTTTCTGTTAATGCGTATGTCTGTCTGTCCGTCCGCGCGTCTGTCTGCCATCCGTGAGCTTGTTGTTGGTTCCATCCACCCACCCGTCTGTCTGTCTGTCTGTCTGTCTGTCTGTCTGTCTGCCTGTCTGTCTGTCCGTCCGTCCGTCCGTCCGTCCGTCCGTCCGTCCGTCCATCCGTCCATCCATCCGTCCGTCCATCATTCGTCTGTCTTTCCACCCGTCATTTTCGATGTACGTGGAAATATTGTAGGTTCGTGTGCTCAGATTTGGGTGCACGTTAAAGAACGCCAGGTAGTCGAAGTTTCCAGAGCCCTTTGCAACGGCGTCTCTCGCAGTCGTATGGTGGTATTATTCAACTACTTATTGCACACTTTTTATGTTACTGGAGGAGTTTAAATAGGCATATTACGCTTCACCTGATCGCTACCACCACCACGTCAGCGCGCAGCTGTGGCTTGACCTACTTGGCCTCGTTCCAACAACTTCGGCGGAAGAACGTGGTGCGGCGCGTTGGCACGGAGACATGGACGGACAACCTACACAGGCTAGTCATAGAGCTCATTCGCTTTAAAAGCAGGGGACATCAACAAGCCACACAAGTCTTTCAAGCGACGTCTTTTATTACAGTATCACCATTTACATATTCCAGTATGATTTCCATATGTTGCATTTTTCCATGTGGTATGAGTGGATTTCTGTTATGTTGTCCCCAGCAATATAGACTGATACTGGGTTGTCGGCGGTGTACTTAGGCCATGGCTGTGGCCCTGGAAGCTGCGGCACCCTAAGAACAAAAGAGAAATGCAAGGTATAGACGTATAGCATAGTATGTTGATTTCCAGAATTTTACTTGAGGCAGTGAATGCCGAGAAATCAAAGAAAAGCCTTCGCGGTGTACACCAATACAAACTCTTCTGGTCCTCACAAACTGTTTTTACATAACTTTGAAAGACCAACATAACAAAAAGTATTGCTTTTACTCCTGAGTCCAGGGCCTCAATAAAATGCTCTACCGAGGCGAACAGAAAAAGAAAAAAATGGCAGCATATCCATGGGGCGAATGATGGAGAGTAGGGCGAAGCATCCATCCGTCCATTCGTTCTTGCTTCCGTCTGCCCATGCGTCTGCCTGTGTGACCATCCATGCGTCCATCCGCCCATCTGCGCGTGAGTCTGTTCCTGCGTCTGCACGTCCATCCGTGCGTCCATCTCTGCGTCCGTCTATGCGTCCATCCGTTCTTGCAGCCATCCGTGCGTCTGTCCACACAGGGATGGTCCGGTGCTTTCTACTAGAACATGCCAATCGCTACTAATGGACAATGAAAGAGAGACGACTCTGATTGGCCACAGAGATCAACAGTCTGCTTTTAGTTAACGCGCACACTGCGATTGTTTATTGTTCAATAACGCATAGGAGATATCTCCTACCGGCACTACTTTGGAGGTCAAAATCCAGTGCCAATACATACAGGGTGGCCAGTGAACGGTTGTGCAATGCGAACAGGCCAGTCCGTTATTCCAACGAAACTACTTATAAGACGCTGGCTACATCGACGTTGCGAGGTGAGCCAGGAGGGCATAAAGGAGAGGAGCGATGAGGGGAGCGGACGCGCAAGTGCAAGAAATGTGGTAACGCCGCCCACTGCTTTGAGCTCAAGCCTAAGCTGCTTCGCTTCTAAAAATGTGGGTGATCCCTCTTTAGAGGAATCGGTATAACGCGAAAGTGCAACATGGCTTTCCAGAGGCAGTACAGCGTTTATCGTGCATTAATGCGCCACAAGGGCAAATGCATGAATGATACAGCAACCAATCGTGAAGTGACGTGAGCGACGGCAAGCAGCTCGACTTTCGCAGCGCACACTTCAAGCAGAAAGCACGCACTAAATGAGCATACAGAGGACGAAAGCGCACCAACAACTCTCGCAGCGCGAAAAGCGCAGTGTGCTAACAGAAAGACGCAAATAACGCACGCATCAGTATACACAGTACAAGCGCGAACACTTCTCGCAATTCATCTTTGCGTGTGAGCGGCGTACTCTTTTCGAAGACGCAGCCGTGGCAGCAAGCAAATCGACCTTTGTGCTCTCCCAAACGACAAGTCTGTTGAGCGTGTGCGCAGGCGACGACGCTCCGTGGAGGTGGCGCTTATCGAAACGCGAGAGGCGACGACCTTCAGAGGGCGCTAAACGCGAGCCATTTGCGCCATCTTGCCACTGATGACGAAAACGCGCTGAAGTTGCGGACCACCAAACCGTTTAGGGCGCTGTAAGTACGCTTGACAACGTAAGTTCCATGGCGGAGTGGTTAGTGCCGCTCGCTGAGGACTGAGAGGTCACTGGTGAGAAGCTCCGCGACGGAACCTTTCCTTCACGTATGTTTCCTTGCTGTCAATTCGTTTAAATATAATACAACATCACTTCCGTTACGGAAATACGTCAGTGCAGCCGCGGTGGACACATTCGTGTAATATAACTGGTGGGAGAAATTGGCATACAAGTGATTAAAAAAATCATGATGCATGGCAGAAATGGTACCCAGGACCTACCGAATGTTGTGGGTTTTTCTTCCGCATTCATTTCTTGATATTTATATCAAAATTCTCGCATTACGCATTGAAGACTGCAAATGTTGACCTAACACTTTCATTGGCTTCATTGTGCGTTGGTTTCATCATGCGTATATAGCAATGACGTGGTTGTGTCTAATTTAATTTCCATCGACTATTCACAGCTAGGGTCTGATACCGGCAGATATGATGCCTTCAGGTGGTATGTGAGGTGTTATTGGCGAGCTGTTTTTTTTTTCAAAAGGATTGCACACAACGTGCTGCGAGCTCACAAAAACTTACAAAACGAACGTTTCCACGCAAGCTGTCATGGATACGAGAAGCTCTGTCTAGCACTTCCAGAATCACATGCGCAGAAATACCCAACGCAGTGAACGGGAGAACTATAGCGACTGCTTTTCATCATTTTTACCATGGATCGTGTTATCCTAAGGTAATACATGCGGTCATCACTAGCGGCAATTTGTCGTTTCGTTCATATTATCTTTCTTTGCATTTATATAAAACATTACCACATTACAAATAACAAAGTACAATTAAAGCCTCGGCGCCATTTCCTCGTGGTCTAGTTGAGCTTGGGAATGCGTCTTAACGCCTCTCTAATTCGGTTGCGGTAATTTGATTACTGTAGCTTGGCTGGACAAAGAAGTTTATTTTAACCAACTTACCCCTGTTGAAGCAAACGTCGAGAGGGCCGTGATAACCACTTCCGACACATTGACATCTTGCGGAGTGAAGCGCACTCGGTCCACAAGAGGCATCCCGAATGTGTAGCCGATATCCCATCCGTGAGGAGTCCCCATCCAGGCAGGGAGTGTACTCTTCTTGGACCGGTGGCCGAAGACATAGGTGTACACGGAGTGTTCCTTGCCGGACATTTCCTCCGCGGTGAGGTGCATGGGACAAACGAACAGGGAGTCCGTTAGATAGTCAAGGTAGCCGCGTCTCAGGGAGCGCCTGTCTTTCTTCTCGGGTAAGTACGCATCCAACGGCCTGGCGAAATCTGCCTTCAGCCACGCGAACACGCGTTCACGTATGGATCTTTCAAATAGGGTTCCTGTGACACCAGCTATGAAATTCGCGCGGGATGATTTCGTTGCTAATAGGAAACATGACAGCTATTGCCCCTTCGTCCGAAGTAACTCCGACCAGCAGATCTGCTTCATTGAACAATCCTTGTCTGACGGCTCGGCGGGGCTCGACGGGGAAGAACACGTTGGGAAAAGTTGGCAGGAAAGGGAATAGCTTGGGCCTTGAATATCGTGCTCGCTAACCGAGCGAGTTCGAATGAATTTTTGGAGCGCAAACACGCTACTACTGTATCCGGATCTGTAAAAATGTTCGTTTGGTTGTCTGTGCAGCCGAGTTTTACAGCGATAGTGTTTCCTTTGATCATGCTCTCGTTGACTGTCTGATAGAAACCTTGACCCTGCAGAGTACCGCTCATCAGGCACGCTCTTTGGAATAAACCACGGCTCTTTGGGGATATCACGTGCGCGTGGGCGCTCATACCGCCCGAACTCTCGCCGAAAATGGTCACTTTGGCGGGGTCACCCCCGAATCGCCCGATGTTGTCGCGGATCCACTTCAGGGCCACGTTCTGGTCCATGAGACCCATGTTGCCCGGCGCCTGCGTCGTGTTGGCGTCCAGAAAGCCGAGAATGCCGAGCCGATAGTTGAAGCTCACGATTACCAGACCAGTCTTGGCGGCCAGCACGGCACCGTTGTAATATCTCTGTGCGGACGATCCCTCCATGAAACCGCCGCCGTGGATCCAAGCTAGAACGGGGACGGCCTCTTCCGTTCGGTTCTGGAGAGTCCAAACATTCAGGTGCAGACAGTCTTCTGTGTGTTCGATGCCACCGAAGGCGAGAGGCATGGTGAACACCTGCGGACAGTGCAAATGCAAGGGCTGTATGAGAGGTGCGGCGCGTTGTTTAGGCGCTGAGATGTTGCACAGCTCAGCTCAAGAGCGCGGGATACAATTCCCGCCGCGTAGCTTGCTATTTCGGGGTAAATTGCTTGAGGAGAAAAGAAAAAAAAGCAATGAAAACCTAGCATTCACTGGATAAAGTTTGAGCGCATAAATAAAGGTGTCGAAGCCACCTTAAAGTTATTCAGTAAGCCTGTGTAGGACTGAACATGTAGGAGTTTTGACTAGCACAGCCCACAATTCGTTTATATCCTTTTATGAATGCGCAAAATATATTCAGTTTTCCAAAACTATTTCTGGTTGAGTTGGTGCCACTGTATTGAACCAGATAAGTCAACCAGAGTGTGCTTCAAGCAAAAGAAAGTGCATTATACTGACTTATATTTATGAAGATGATTTCAGGAGAAAGATATAAAGCCAACTGAAAGGAAGAAAGACTACAAGCCGATTCCGCAAAGGCCCAAGATTTCTGTTATCGCAGACAGAATTAGTTTTACAGAGAAGTTCAAGAATGATTCAACTCTTCATGTGGCCACCTTTATTTCTTATAGCCACTCTTTGCTTCCTGCTAGCCTCTTGCACTCCATTAATAACAATATATGCGGTTTTACAAGCCAAAAGCACTGGTATTAAGCTAGGAGACGATGTAGGAAATTCTCTGCAGAATTTGACTGTCTCATATTCTTTAGCGTTCACCGACGTAGTGCGGCATACGGGCATTTGGCGTTTCGCCTTTGCCATAGTGCGACTACCGCTATGGAGATCGAATTCATCCCTTTCGGGTCAGCGGGCTAACATTGTAAGCTCTGTGGCGTGAGGCGCGCCTCTTTTATTGTCATGACTGTACAATCGCTTTAGCGCCTCTTGTTTAACAAGTATTTGCTTAACTATAATAGGTGCGCTAACCAACGAGCTTGCAAGTCGAAGGCTGTACTTAACCGCTCTATTTTTCATATTGATCTGGCAGTGCGCTGTCAGATATTGCAAGTTATAAGATGCAAACTTACCAAACGAAGTGCCATTACTGCCTTAACAGCATTGAATATATTTATTATGCCAATAAACTAATCCGTTTTAAGTACTACGGCCGTTCTGCTACTGAGACATAATCAATACAATCATCTGCGCTTTCTTGGCTATCCGATACCGTAAAGCGCAGGTAGCTTTGCATGTGTTGACATCTTGTGCAGATGTATCTAACTACGAACTTTTCATAGGTACCATGTACTTTACAATATTTTGGTGTGACGTAATAAGAATAGCATGTTCGCGGAACGTTTGTATGCATAGAAAATTGAAAGATTTTAAGAAAGTTGGAGTATTCAAACTACATGTGAGAACGTATACCAGTTTCATCAGAAATACGTTCATCGGCTCATAGTGGTTGCATTCGTTAGTCGCACGTGATGCATTAAAAATAACAGTGCGTTGGTATCCACTAATAATGTCGGGGTTGATATAAATCTATTGAAGTAGGACGAGTTTGGATGCCTTCACTTCAAATTCAAGAAATATTTTTCTCTGGTACAAGCTGCTCTTCTGTCTCCTCCAATAATGTGACGTTAGCTTCTGTATTCGTCTATCAAAAACAGTTCCTGGCACAAACCAAGAGGCATCTTCACGCCAAACTGTCGTTCATGTGAGGAGACATACCTATTTCTTTTGTCATAAGATAGGCTACCACAACTAGATCAGCCGTTCGCTTGCTCAGAAAAAAACACAATTGAACCTTTTATACGATAGGCCTGAAAGGCCTATCGTATGAAAGGTTTAATTGTGTTTTTCGATCTTCTGCGATCTTCTGTGAAAACACACAAAAGATCGCAGCTCTTTTTGTGTTAAGGCATTGCTTTTTTGTCTGCGATATTCTGTAAAGTATTTTATCGACAGAACTGCAGAACGCATCCCGACTCTCGACGTGAGTATAAGCGCCTAAAAATGTTTACGCATCCTAGCCAGGCCTGTAGCCCAAGGTACAAGTTCTTTCTTTTATCCCCTTTATGTTTGGATGGAGGTGTACGCTTTACCGAGGGCATGAATTAGAAATAGGCGTTATTTATGGTAGCCAGTGAGTGCCTCCACCACCTACAAAAAATTCTTGATTGAGATGTGCACATGGGATTTAACGTCCCGAAACCACCATATTATTACGAGAGATGCCGTAGTGGAGGGATCCGGAAATTTCGACCACCAGGGGTTCTTTAACGTGCACCCAAATCTCAGCACATTGGCCTACAGCATTTCGCCTCCCTCGAAAAAGCAGCCACCACCGCCGGGATTCAATCCCGCGACCTGCGGGTCCACAGCCTAGTACCGAGCGACTACTCTAAAAAAAGAGCGAGTAAAAAGGCTGTCTTTTTGTCCCACAACAATAATCGTCATCTATATTGCGTTCCATCTTTGCGCTATCGCCCCGCGCCCGGTACATTCCGGTCACGATCGACATGCCCATTATCAGGGTTACATTGCATTCTCGATATGAAAGTGGCCAGCGCCGAGTTTTCAAGAAAGGAAGCGCACGCAAGCCTGATGAAGAATATTGTTGTGGGACAAAAATACACCCTCTTTACTCAATATTTTTTTAGAGTGATAAACCACTGCCACGGGGCACACACACACAAAAAAAAACATTTCTGAATACGGCGCTAATCCTGCCACACTGTTGTGTTAGAGTGACGCAAAGAGCACTAGCTTAAGGTCGTTGTTCGGCGATGGATTGTCGAACAACGACGATCCATCGTCGTTGTTCGTTTGCTATAAAATGTCACATATGCGAATAGGTTGCGAATCGGAAAGTGTACTGAGTACGCTTGCGTTTCTTCAAACTTCGGCTCGAATATGCATGCTTGCCCACCAATTGATTAATCATAAAAAAGACAAAAATACTCAAAGGGTCCGTTGTTCGTTCACTTAGGTTGACTCGAAGGGAAAATACTTATTTTTTTCTTCTCAGGGGGTGTCATGACTCTTCACAGCCACCCTTTACAAAGCTTTCTGCACCTACAGCGGCTCCGCATTGCTTTCGATATTGAAGGCACCCCACAGGTTTACCATTGCCTCCATGATAAGACCACACTTGACTAAGCTACGATGTCACGTGACGGCTTCGTCATGTGACGACACAGCGACTTCAAAATTACGACACAAGTGCTGGAAACTATGACGTCATATTTTGACGTTATCACGTGCTTTTTTTCATCATTTGTTGCTAACGCCGCGGCAAACCAACGCCGATGATCAGTTAATTTCGCGCGTTTGATGCGCTGTTTAGGGCTTTCGCCTTAACGACAATGGCCGGAGTGTTACGCTTCACAACCAAAATATCACAAAAAGATACTCCGTAATAGCTGCACAGTAGTTATTATGACGCTATGACATTTTTGAACGCACATCTGTGGTTCAGCTAATTAACGCGTCTCATCAAGCGTAGCTGGGCGATACTCTACCTCCTAAGCGACCAGGGCCGAAAGCACAAGAGGAGCACACACCTGGGGACATGCGGTTCTTCTGCTCCTGGCATCCAGTGTGCCATTCCAAGGTTCAGCCGGTTCTGGCGCCATGAAACGCAATCCTCCTGTCGGCGGTTTCGCGAAAGGGATACCGAGGTACTCCTCGACTGCGAGACCGAGTCGCTCGAGCCGTTTACCCATAACTAGACCAAGAGACGTGTTTGTCGTAACATCAGTGGGATAACCATAGGCCAGCATGGCCAGGGACCAGAAGTACGGCTGCCACCGTTGTGCCGCCCATTCTTCGGATCATTGTAGTGCCGCAATCTGGAATAAACGAAAGATGTGCAGTTCCTCTGGAGTGTATTAGGGACTGAGTGCTCTGTGTAGCCAGGCGTGAACAACTAGCCTGGTACGTTCACCTCAAAAAAGGGTGTGTAGATATATATCACAAAAAACACATGCTTTCATTTTTATTCAGGACTGTTTCATGACCATTTTTTTTCCGCATCTATAGTAACCGTATGATGCAAAACTGAATTTCTATTCTGGCTTTGTCCAAAAACAATGGGAGTGTGAGAAGTCGCAAACTAACAGGTTGTAAATTAAAACTGGAGTGTGTCCAAGACTTGCACACTGAGAACGCACATGCGCCAGCAAACGTCTGCAGGACACAAAAGTTTCAAGACTGCTATTTTGCTGTAAAATTCGAGAACATACCTTCAAATTACCTGTTTAACTACAGCTGATATCAATCGAAATAGAAGCATCCTGTCCTAACATAACAAAAATTCGCTTTTACAGTTCCGCCCATGTCCCGTACACATTAGCTGGCGGGTGTACATGGCACAAAACCAGTATCGACTAAAACATCATACCAATATTATTGTTATCGCGTATTCTGCATGTATGCAATAGCCACTTGCGCCCCCAAGCTGTCTCCAGCATTTGGTAAGTAAAAAGTGCTCGGGCCTGAAAGCATTTTTGAAATACATGATCATATTCCTGACAACCTGACAATATACTTCATTGATTCATTCATTCATTCTTTATTTCCAGCAAGTCTTTACAACCATTTGGGGGGTCCCTCAAGCGAAAACTGTTTGAAAAACCACTTGAGAGTGCCTGACTCTCCACGTACATAGCAGCAGTTCGAAATTAAAATCTCTTAAAAATTTCGCTTTATTGTAAGTAGACACTTAGAATAAACAATTAGACGAATATTCTACAAATACAACAGTACAACAAATAGACACATAACAAACTAATAACTATGCATCTGCACTCATGAATACACTGAACCATATCAAAATAGACATGACTGAGACTGAAAAAAAAATGCGATACTTCGAGTGACATGAACAACACGCATGGACTGGTGGCTTACTTACCTTCAACGAAAATGAAAGCTGATGCACATCCTTGCGAAGACGGTGAAGAAACAGCGAAGTGCGAAGAGTCGAGAATTACGCATGCATGGTGACGTCGTGCCACTCGAAGCAAAGTTTTTGCTGCGTGTTTCCGTGACTGATAGCTGTGGGGTACATCTGATAAGCAGAAAGCCCATCCATGCAGTGCCATGCAACTTAAATGCGGTGTCATCTGTATTTCTTATACGATAAGAGATAAAGACATAGGTCGACGAACGCACTCACGAATTGACTGACTCGAACTCACTCAGACTCACATTCAGCCTTGAACCTGAGTTCCAGTGAGACTGGGTAAGTAATACTTTAGTGAGCTTGAGTCCGACTGAGTCTTGATGAAAAACATTTTCGTTAGTGTGAGAACAAGTGGGTTTGGATATGGAAAGCTTCGATGTATATAACTGGCCGCAAAGCTCAAGATGTCTTTCTGAAGTGAGTGTGACTGAGTTCCACTTTCGTTTGCTGACTCATATTTTCCTGACTCATCTACTCATCTTCAGCATTGCTATCAGCATTACCTGAATTCTTGTTTATGCTCACGTCTACTGATGTGTATATCGAAGCAGCATCATTATTTTAACATTTCAATATTTATTCAATAAATGCGTGAATTACGAGGAGTGGATGCCTTGACCTCTCCCCCCTCCCCCTACCGCTAAATCCTTCGGAGATGTTCTTGACAAAGCATAATTAGTGGTACGTCTTAAAAATATTCTTGGTTATTTCGCAACCAATCGTAACTCGTATTACAAGATACCATACCGAAAGGCGCCAAGAAGAGTGTCGATTACGTTATAAATTTGTGGTAATGACACTAACAGCTTAGTCAAACGAGCTAATTCTAAGCTGACGGACCCATGAGTCAATCCTTTCGGAGTCATACTCGAATAGGGCCATTCGTTCGTTCATTCATTCATTCATTCATTCATTCATTCATTCATTCATTCATTCATTCATTCATTCATTCATTCATTTATTCATTCATTCATTCATTCATTCATTCATTCATTCATTCATTCATTCATTACACGCTTGTGTTCTTTGCGTGCTGCATAATGTGATACCTCAAGGAAATATCACTTCAACTTTCAGACCACGTATGCATAAGTTCCAGCTTGACCGCACGCTCTGCATCAGCCTAGAAACAGCAAACACGACTATAGTTAGGACTTTTATAGAGGGCCATAATTATAAAAGACCATGACAAGGTCACCCAATAATTTGTGGTTTTCTGTGAAAACTGGAAGTAGAGGGCTTGTTAAGCATTTACATTGCTGAAACGTTGGCCATAAAAGAACATATTGGTGCGAAAGAATGCCACGGCTGGCGGCGCATGCTATAAACTCAACCTAAGGTTCCTAGATGAAACAAGTTTCCAAGGTAGCGACACCTTTCCCTTTCCTCTTCGCCTATGTTCCTGAAGCGTCCCCTAGAAGGTTTAAAACTTTCATCCAAAAGTGAATGTTTGGGTTGCGTTGCTACGGTGAATAGATGTAAATGAAACAAAATGGAACAAAATAAGACGTAGAATAAACGGTTACCTTTATGAACATAAACGGCACAACACAAGAGCAAGCGGGATGTGCGTTATTCCACCGGCAACGTTGTGCAGTTCTATACTTTACACCACTAGCCATGGCGTCTCACGTAGTACATTTTAGTTCCACGGCCGCGATATTTCGTCCAGTTCTAACTAGTCCACTTCTCCGATTGTGTTTTGTTCGTGCTGTGACACAGTGAACGTACTTCTTGCTGGACCCTGTAAGTGGCCACAGAGCATGACGTTGTAACGATTGATTACAACCGGCTTGTGCACACGCAAGAAAAAAAACTACGACCAGACTGGTACGAACACTCGTCCAGCAGCACTGCGATGACGTGTTTTTTAAATGTGCCCATTTGGACAATCGTGATGCCAAGTGATTCTGATGCGGTGCTGGGAACTTCCTGAAAAGTGAGAGTTCTACTGGTGAGGTGTCTCGAAGCAGCGCGTTTCGGCTCAAGCGGGAACTGGTCAAGAGTGAAATGTTTCTGAAGGTGCGTTGATTACAACCTACAGCTGCTCTGTATACGTGCATACCCACATGTATTTGTACCAACTGGCATGCACTAGACACGCATTAGACGCGCGCCTGGCGTTTCAATAATAACCGACAAGTGAACTCACTTCGCAGATCCGCGTCGACATACGTTGACGGAGTTGCACGAAAGCATTCGCGTGAAATGGTTCATAGCTGCACTTCATGGTGCGCTTCATCTCGGAAAGCACGAGGTAAGTTGAAGAGAGCGAAACCATTTTCTCTTGTTTACGGCAACGCAGCATTGCTGAAAAACGCCGATGTTGCTTTGAACGAGCATGGCGAAACAATCTTGGTCGACTTAGCACACACCGAAACGCTCCTCCTCTTCAGTTTATGTTCTGGCTACGACTTTGTCTTTGGTCACGGCGAGAATCCGGCTGGAGCCATATGCGCATGCGTACTCGTTTTGAACCTTTTGCATAATAATAAATAACACCACCAGCCATTTGCAAGATCACGTGCAAGTAATGCACTAATTACAGACGCGGATGGCAGATAAAAAGAGGAGTAATCGAGAGAGTGAGGAGGACGGCTCGAGAACAATGAGTGACGCTACCTTGTTTCATCTAGGGACCTTAACTCAACCCCCGACAGCGACCGCTCATTCGCCAAGATATATGTGATGTCACTCACGTGCAGCAAAGAGCGGAGTCTTTTTTCTCATACCAAAGTTTCAGCCGCAGTGAATTTTTCAACAGAACCTTTAGGAAATTCATTCTGGCAACATAGCTGTTCCGCCATATCTTGTTCATTCGTGTGAGCTGGCGGGCTGTGTATCCCATCGACACCGATGAAGGTTATCTGCAGTGCACAAAGACGCCGCTTGCGTTCTTGCAGGACGTGTACCGCCTTCGGACGGTACGCCAATGAGCGTCCCTTGGGTGAAGAAGACATGTCGGCAAAAAATGTATTTTTGGCTTCGTTCGATAGCCAGCGCTGAATTTCTAAAAGGATTGATTGCAGTAGAAAACTTAAGACAGCTAATATATCTCAACTTCCCGTAGCGCTGACAAAAGAACAATTAATTCGCCAGAATGCATACGCTCGTACAGCTATCTGCTTTTTATGTCACGGCTCGCGAGTGCGACAGTGTTGTCCGACTTTCAGGCCACTTGAGTTCTCGCAAAACATTCAATCAAAAATTTCACCGGTCTTAATTGTGCGCCACAAAAGAGGAGGCTCCGCGCAGGGCGCCCTATTTCTTCTCTCACTGGCTATATGAAGGAGGAAACAACGTGGTCAAACTCGCTGCAAACGACAATTATCTCAAATGGCGTAACATGCACGACGTTCATAAAGCAAAAACAAAAAGTGGTGCACATGTAGCGCACCGGGTTTGTGACTATTCCTTGAAAGATTGTACTCGCGTCTTGATATTTTTCAGTTCAATTGATATATCTAGTCAGTTAATTAAAGTTTGAGAGATGTTCTTACATACAAGTTTCATGAATATGTGTCTGAATTCTTTCGACGTATCTGCATGTTGCCTTTACTTCGTTCTTTGGTAATCTAATGTAAGTTCTTGGTTAGTTGAATTGCTTTCTATTCACGACACAAATTAACACTGACAGTTTTGTTTATTGCAAATGTTCCAACCATCGTTTTCGTTTCTGTATTTCCTGCTGTGCTATAGCATAGAAGAAAATACAGAAACTAAATTGACGATTACCTGCCAAATGGACGGTTATCTGGCAAAAGTTACCTGGCAAATCCTATAGGATTTGCTAGGTAACCTTTGTTGTTGGGCCTGCGGCTAGCTATTGCTACAGGTTCGACGAGTGGCTGCTGTCTTGGTATGTGATGTGAAATAAAATCTATGCCTTTACGTCAGCCATAAATGGTTCCATATCAGCAATGACAGGTTGCTTTGCTCGGCAAGAGATGGCGCGAAAAGAGACTGTGGTTGCTCCCGCTTCCACTTTAACGCTCTGTGAGCAGCCACCGGAGCCCACAGGCCACGAAATCTCGTGTTCCCTTTCATAAGAATTGACGCTGTACCTATGCCGTACCTGCAAACGATGATACCCAAGTCTACTGCTTTTCCTGGGGGCCTTTTGTTACGATGTGAAAAACGTTCGTATCTGCTTGTTTTTTACATTTTTTTTCAAATAAAGTTTAGTTGCGAGTGGGCGCCTGTTCTGCGTTCCTAATTCCTCGTACTCAACCCGTCCGTGGTGCTTCAACCAAAGAAAAACGGCTACCAGCTCACCGGTGTTCCTATTCTTATGACGTACCTTTTCTGAGCGCGCCCTCAACTCCAAGCTGGTAGTCGACGCCATCAGCAGTGTGCGGGACTTCAGCCTACCCGACACTTGCCTTACTACAATGTCTAATCTTTGTGCATCATGAATTTTCTTGGAAGATTGTGAAAAGAAATCTGGTGCACTGTTTGAAACAAAGTGCATTGAGCCTCTAGGGTAAGTAAACTTCAGAAAAAGTGATAAAGCATTTTGTTGTCGTGAAATACTAAGACACTAATGCCACTGAATAATGGTCACGTGATAAGATGAAGGCGTTCACCCTGTTCAGTGGGTCATCAACCATACAAGTGCCATATATTTCTCTGCCCTTTACCCACTGTAAACAATCATAACAAGCCATGCAAGAAGTCCCATTGATTCTTTCATATACGTATAACATAGGAAAAGCGAAGCTACTGAGTTGACTTTGGTAAGTGCAGCAAAATAATCTTGTTCCAGAACCCACAAACTAAACGCAGGAATAAAGAATTATTGAGTGCAACACATGTTGCCTGATGGTTTTAAGCACCAAGGTCAAAGAATCGTTCGAAATGAAGTCTACACTCTTTATAAAGGAGCCCATGTTCTGGCCAATGCCATGGAGTTTCCTATAATTACATTAGAAGATACTCTGGCATTTGTGTGTATGGGAGCTGCAACGCACGGCGCTTCACCGGTGTGGGAAGAATGGGTATGTACAGAAATGGGTCTAAACATCATCTATTTTTCGGCTCCGATTAGTTTCGCGTGGCTTGGAGCCACAAGTGCCACAAGTGCATTCGAACCCCGCAAGAACAAAGGCTAGGCAAACTGGCGTACTACCCATCATTCTCATGGTTGTTGAAAAATCGCCGCGCCAGAGTTGCCTTCGGTTAATTTTTAGGAAACTCTGTGGCCGATGTCACTTTTAAGGCGCTATAGAGGAGATGCGTACTTTCAAGGGTGTTGTGCTTCGCATGCGAGCCTACTTTTAGCATCGCCTGCTCTCTCCCGTATCTGAGAGGTGATAAAATGAAGTAGCGCGAACAGTTTCATCTTGAGCGTCGGTGCCTTTGTTCTGGACGTTGTTTTGACACAGCTTGCCCGTCACCATCGATGAGGTTTCAAGATCCTGCCTGCAAATCTGGTAGTGTTCTCATCCACTGAAGAGTGTTGTCGTTCTTTCGAAGCTAAACATGTGCGGTTGTGTTAGGTTCAGACATGAAAAATTGTGCGACTTGGGTCGTTGGTGATTCAATTGTTTCTTGAGCATGCAGGTCCGTGTACGTAGCGAATCAAGGGGCATACACAGACATATCAGTGACATAGCTGAACAGCTCGTCAACAACACTAAGCTAGTATGCTATAAATTCCACTATTGCGTTTGGTCGTAACTTTCCTCCTGATTCCGTGTATAAAGACAAGTTTCAAGACAATTTTACTGAACACGGCGTTGTCAAAAGGTGAACTGGGAAACGAGTGTCTTACGATTCCCTTGTTATCATCTAAATTAATTGACGTGTCTCGTGGAGACGAAATTACCTTGTTCCGCATCAACCCTATGCGCATACAACACAATTGCTTTGCGAACAGCGCACAGGAAAAAAATATTTGTAGCCATACTTTAAAAGGTAAAGAACATTACGAATTTCACGCGTCCGTTCTAAAAGCGTTGCAGAAGTGTGTTTGGAAACCGATGATGTTTGCGATGTCACCATTGTCGAAGAACACGGAAACAGGGTTGTCTTTCGTATACCGGGGCCATTGCTTCTCCATAGGTAGTTGGGGTACTCTGCGCAGAAGACAAAGTTGTGACGTACATTGGACAGCATTTCCGTTCTATTGGCATAGGCTACAAAGTTCACGGCTTTCACTGGCACTTATAGCAAACAAAAATGAGCCTTCAAGCCAGTATTTTTTTTTGTAAAAGACAGCTCACCTAATGTATGACAGTGTTTCCTAGATAGCAATTATTGCACTTCTAAATCTTCTGCAGTTTACTGCAGCCTTGTTCTTTCCCTGCTATATTGCACAAGACGTAAAGTATTCAGCTTTTGATCAGTTGTACTGAAACGGTAGTGTCCACCAGAACCTAGATGTAGTTCCTATTGTATTGTGTATAGAAGCGGCGCCCAAGTGCTCATGAGCGAAATGATATTCAGTTTATGCCCGAGAGCTGCCGCATCTTAATCAAGCTGAAAATGAGGACTTGAATCACAAGTACTTAAACTAAGAATTGTACTTACGAAACGACACAAGTGTGTGAGCAATTGTTTTTGAAGATAAACAGCTGCAATTAGTATTATCTTGAATTAAAGTGAGGCAGTGAACTAATGTTGGGCCCACTAAACCACGAGTTTCTCATAAATAATTTTAAGTACGTCGAAGCTTACTCAACCCATGTAAACACCTGTGTTTTGGTCCGATCGGGAGGCTACAACAGCTGTGTTTACGAAAATTGTGGGAAACTAGAGCTTCGGTACTAAAAAAACTGCACAAAAATCAATGCTCTGCTAAATAACACCGTTCTCTGAGTTATCTAAGGCAGCGCAACTATAATAGTTGTGACATAGACGTTCCACACGACCGCACGAATGCGGACATCAAAAACCTATAGGGGCCTATAAAACTAATCTCCGACAGGTCGACCCCATTCCGCAGGCCCAAGCTCGAAACCTCAGGAAAGCGGAAGTGGAGTATCATTTCAGAGCCTCGTATACCATCAACTAGCGAACGGCCTGACAGAAAGGTCGGACGAGGCTTTACAAGCTCGGTTGGCCCCGTGTTGCAAGAACAACACGCCAGGTCAGGCCGACTGGAAGGAGCACTTCAAAGGGGCTGCATACACTGTTAGAACGGCGTGGCAGAGCTCGGTCGGAGCTTCCCCAAATAAAATCATTTGGGGCCTTCTTGCGAAACTAGGCGCTACACCATCCTTAGACATGCTTGTACGAACAGGACGTTCTGTTGGATGAAAGACACATTGCAGCAAAATACAAACCGAGGCGTGCAAGAAGATTGAACATGCCCAGGAGGTACAAAAGGGACATTACGACCGCCATGGAGCACCGCCACACCAGATCGCCAGTAGGGTGTGGGTTCAACGAGGGACACCAACCCCTCCAATGAAAGTTACTGCGATGTGCCCCTTGTTATTACTGGAGAACTGGGCTAAAACACTTGGCGAATGCGGTTGTGGGATTCACACCGGCGCGAAGACAAAAGCAGGCGAAACAAGTTTGCCGTGCGTGGATCGGGGTATGGTGGCTAAAAGGAGAGGTGTCAGCATCGTCCCGGCCGCGCCTTGAAAGGAGGCGTGCTGGTATTTCATTCGGCCGCGGAGTGGCGCGCAAGTCGCCACTGTGATTGGTCGAGAGCGCTCGCCAGCGGCTAGTGCGGCACTTTTAGATGCTTGCTCGTGTGCTTGCAACTTGCAACGTCTGCGCTTTGCCTATTTGGACTTGTTCGGGATCAATACGTGCCAATGTGACCATGCCACAGTGATGGGTAAATGGCAAAGACACTGCTTTGCACCTGGATGAAATCCGGGATATGTTTCGGCCCGCAAAAGAAACAAGGGAAGAATGCGTATTTTTTCTCTGCTCCCGCCGACGATGAATGGTGCAAGATCTGGGAGCGTGTGATTCCTCACGCTGACAAACCACTCAAAACTAAGTGCGTTGTGTGCGAAGCTCGTTTCGACGAAAGATTCATCGTTCGTAGCTACAAGCCTGTTATCAACGGCTTCTTAGCAACTTGTGAGGGTGGGTTCCTGAGTGAATCACGGCAGAAGGACTACGCGACACTCTAACCAGCACCCTTTCCATCCGGCACAATGTCACAAAAATTTTGGGCTATAAATACGTGACGACGCCACGCGCTGCCAAGGCGCGCTTAAAATCTTTTTGGAATTCTGAAGCAAATCACTGGCTCGAATTATCACTCTTCGCCGACACAACTTTTTATCTCTCTGAATGCCTCAGTTTTTACAGTTTGGCACAGTCACCCTCCTGTGGGAACATACAGTCTGGAGTTCTGAGCAGCCTAGTTCGAGAGTACAAAATGTTTGCCAATCAAATCTCAATGTCATGTGTGTTTGTATGCCAATTGTGTCATCGTATAATTACTGTCTATTACTACTACTACTACTATAATTACTGTTCTCTTTAGTTGCCTTATTCACTTGCTTTAGCTCAGTTTCATATAACTTGCAGTTTTGTTCAACCTTAATGCATTTGTTGTGTTTATTTTTCATGTTTTTCGCTTTTGAGAAAATAAATGCTTTGCTTGCAAAATAAAACCTTGATTGCGCAAGTCATAAAAACAACGGTTGCCGATACCTTTACGTACATTGAGACTTCACGGAGAACGTTGCGGCATCAAATTTGAAAAGTGCCCGGACTCTGTTTTGGTGTGAAGCCCCCGGCAAGTCACTTGGTTCTCTATCTTCTAAGCTTCGTAGCTGATATACTGTGAAGTGAATTGAAACCACTAGTTTTCAGTGCCAATACACGCTTTGCTGCGCGCCTCCAGAATCGTGACAGGTAGACTTTGTTATAATCCGCAGGGTAGCATGAAATATTTGCAACAAAAAAAAAAAAACGACTCATACGCGCGAGCGGGCGCGAGGAGGGGCATCTCGAAAGCGACCGCAGCGCCTCCGCATCCGGAGGAATTCTCGCTCGCTCTCCGGCGCGTCGATGCTGACACCTCTCCTTCTTGCCACCATAGTCGGGGATTAAGAATTATGTGCTTAGAAACATCTGGATTGCCGTAACTGTTCCGTTTTAAAAGACGATAGTCTTTCTTGGGCACCTTCGACGAAAAAATTTCGGTCTGTCTGTCTGTCTGTCTGTCTGTTCATATTTCTCTTTGTCTGCCCTAACGATTCCTCAAACGGCACCTAACAGCCAACCCTATCCGCAGCGCCCACCAATATTGCTCAAGGTTTAGCGTTCATAGTTGTGCGATTGTCAATTAAAAAAGCAAATATTGCGCATATCTGAGGCGTCATAACAACATGTCTATGTTTTGTAAGTCTGCCTTCATAATAGAAGAGGCACATACCAGTAACTCTAAGGACTGTAGCGTTTAACGCGCTGCGCTGACAGTGCAACGCGATTCTCAAGAAGGTGTTTCCAACGCTTCGCTACGACGGCACGGTGGTGGCACCTGCCCGTCGCTTTGCATTCTACACCTTATGACCCCCATGACTGGCGTGCATCTTTCTCCGCGGTCGCGCATGCCTTCGTTTTCGAAGATAACTGCCAGATGGCGCTCGTGTGCCTAGCTAGATGCGCTTGTTCGCCTGTGTTACACGCTCGAAGCACTCTAACGCCGCGCCTTCAGAATACCATTCACCTATTTTCTCGCGCAGAACATCAAATAAACGTTTTCTTTGCTCTCTCCAGACGCAACACTAACGTCTTTCCACGACATTTACAGTGTAACATGTAGATTCAGGCCAATTTTTCACAGAAATGCACCTTTGGCATCGTAACCGAGTGTAACAAAGGAGAGTGGGAGTGGCGCTGGCTCGAAGGCAACAAGAAAACAAAGCAGTCAGAAATAGAACAGCCCACCCAGCGAACGGGTGTGTGTTTGTTTCTCTGCATGTGACTGTGTGGATGATAGCGAGGGCTGTCACTAAAAGAACAACATCTTTACTTTTGGCACAAGCCACAAAATGTTTTCTTCATACTCATTAAAAAGCCTTGGAAGGCTGTGAAAGTTAGCATTCACAGGAAAGGAAGATGTACCATTCGAGTGTTCTTTGAAAATGCTAGAAACTAAGAGTTCACATTAGCGTCTGTAAAATAAGCTGGGAACGTCCACATTGGTGTATAGCTGTTGCACTTGACTTCTGACCTGACGGTCATGGGATTGAATCCCGGCCCCGTTGGCCTCATAGCGAGGGGCTCAAATTTTCGACTCCCGTACACTTTGATTTAGGTGCACGTTAAGTAACCCGAAGTGGGCAAAATTTCCGATAGCTCCCTATGCGGCGTCTTTCGAGTCCATATCATAGTTTGGCGACGTCAAATCAACAACTGAATGTTGGAAAGAATCATTATAAAATATTGTTATAAATTGAAATGTTATAAAAGCCAGTATAAGTGTTCTAAAAGTTGATAGGATATAACATGAAAAGGATCGTTATAAAGTAAGCAAAATGTTGGCGCTTTCTTGCAACAACAAAACAGTTACTAGACTTACATTTTAAATTATGATTATCTAGCTACCGCCATAGGTTCCCTAAGGGAACTCTGTTGTGCTTTTCCGGTAGAATATAATAATTTTCAAAACATACTTCATGAAGAATGTATTGGTACACGAACAAAGCTTTGTATAAAAAGTGAAACTGCATTGCAAATGCATAGGAGGTACGCATAACATATGCAGTATTGCGTGGTGGAGACGTAGGTTCACACCAGGCGTGAAAACATGCGAATTGTGGAACGAGTCATTTGAAGCTGCCCGCACATTACAAAGTACGCAAATTTACGGTTGTGCGTGCTACAATGCATGCGTGTGGTGGGCTCTTGGCCAATAAGTAAAAAGTAATAAGTAAAAAGAAAAATGACCTGCGTTGCATACATATCGCATCTGTGCTCTCAGCTGGCATTTTGGAAAAGTTTTAAGTGGCCAATATTACAAATACTAACGTTGCTGCTCTTGCAGAACGGTTAAGGGCGAGGCCCATGGCATCTAATTTTCACATCAGTGAGGCTGACTTTTTTAGCGATTTGCCTTGCGCGAATATCTCATTCATTTCTCTACAATGCCTCCTTTGAGTGGCGCCTATGTTCGTCTTCTCATTCAGTCGTCCCGCTTAGTTGCTATGAATATACCGTACAGCAGTCCCCATACTTTCAATAAAGCAGTCACAATACGCTTTCTTCCGTGCGCACTCTGTATTCAGGTATGCTAACTCAGTCAAGCTACTTCCCCTCGGTTCGGTCGTTTACATATTCATGGTACAATATTTACCCTTGAGCACACTGTAGAGGGTGTTACATTTCCTTCTACAGCTTTATTGGCCCCTTTGTGAGTCCCAGTATCACCTTTTTGCTTTGTTCAATTCTTAGGGCCCAAGTTACTTTCGTTACTCTTGAGTTAAAATACTTACTGGCTGTTCACGTAGGCATTCAAGGACACTTTGCAATTCTATGGACCCTCCTTCTTACCTGTGTCGTCTTAGTAGCACTTCCAAAACGTTGACTCTAGAACTTCCCGAACGGGTGCAACGTATCGGGGGTGTAGACGTGGACAATATACTGAACAAACTCGTAGACACTTCTTAGAGCATAAGCGGGATAACTTTGACACTGATGATTACAATGAATGAGCCGGATATTGATAAATACCTATTTAACGTTAAATATTAACACTGAAACTAAATTTATCTTGGTGCACTTAAGAAAGAAACGCAACCCACGTGAAACAGCAAAGATAGGCGCTAATCAACATCGCTCACCCTGTGGAAGCGAACGTGGACAACACGTTGACCAAATTCTCGGACATGATGACATCTCGGCGTCGTACTTTTCCTGATCGACTAGAGGAAATCCATATATATAGCTCACGTCCCCTCCGTGTGGCGTACCCATCCAAGCTGGCAAGGTGCTTTTTGCTGAGTGGTAGGAGAAGACGTAGGAGTACACGGAGTGGCCCCGTTTAGAGTGTCCCTCGGCTGTGAAATGCATCGGACACACGAACGTCCTGTCTGAGAGAAAGTCCACGTAAGCGCGCCTCAGCTCAGGCCTGTCTCGTGCCTCGGCAATGTACGGCGAGAGGTTGTTTTCGGAATTTGTCTTGAACCAGGAGAATATAACGTCGTGGAGAGTCTTGTTGAAGAACTCTTCATCAAGTCCTTCTAGACTCTCTGTCCACAGTTCCTGTCTCGGTGGATACATCAACGCTCCCATTCCTTCGTCCTTGGTCACTCCGACTATTATGTCGGCAGAGTTGAACGACCCCTCTTTCACCGCTACCGCTGGATCTTTGGGAAGAAATCGGTTGGGATACGTTGGTAGAAAGGTGAATATCTTCGGCTTTATGCTATGGGATGAGGCTTGCACGAGCTCGTCAGCGCTTTTCGTTCGAAGGCACGCAACCACTGATTCGGGATCAGAAGTCAAATTCTTGTCACTATCGGCACAGCCGACAGCTCGAGCAACAAGGTTGCCTTTGTTTATACTGTCAGTCACATGCTCAACAAAATCTGGACTGTTCAGAGTCCCACTCATCAGGCAAGCTCTCTTAAAGAGGCCTCGGCTCATGGGTGAGATCACGTGAGCATGCGCGCTCATGCCTCCCGCGCTCACGCCGAAGATGGTCACTCTCAGGGGGTCGCCCCCGAAGTGGTGGATGTGCGCCTGAATCCACTTTAGCGCCAAGGCCTGGTCCATTAGGCCCACGTTGCCGGGTGCTTCGGTCGAGTTCGCGTCCAGGAACCCCAGAATATCGAGTCTGTAGTTCAACGATACTACCACCAATCCTGTCTTGGCGGCCAAGACGGCCCCGTCAAAGATGGGAATGCTGGCGGAGCCGTGCGAGAATCCTCCGCCATGAATTGAGACGAGCACTGGAACTGGCGCCTGCTTAGGTGCCACAGGGCTCCAAACGTTGAGATGTAGGCAGTCTTCAGTCAAAAGAGCGCCTTCAGTCATGACAGGAGCAACAATGACCTGCAATGTCAGGTTAAAAAAAGATGATCAATTATTACGCTAACAGGAGTGGGTATATACATATCGGTAGAAACATAAATGCAGTTTCCTGCGCTACAGTTTGGGGGATTTTCTGTCAGAAATTGAATACGGGTAGTCGGTATTCTCGCACGTAATAGGCAAATAAATAAGGAAATGGGTTCACCACATAATGCGTCCAACCGGCCAACCAAGGGCAGTTTTTGCCGTGCAATAACTGCCCTTGGTTAAGGCATGGGACAGCCAGTCATCGCATGCAATATGTTTGATGAAAGGATAAAGTTATGACGTGTATAGTGAACGAATCGAACCTGGGTACGCCGGACAGGAAATATTAATGGAGTCTTTCTCCATGCAGTGTGCACAGAGCAAGCTGTGGAGGAAAGTGGTTACTTCGAATAGCGCAGTGAGGCACTGTCTTCAGAATTTGCCTTCATGACGCGTTTTTTTTTAGTGGCGAAGCACCTTAGTGCCGTAGCTTGCCCGTCCAGTGTACGTCATAGTACGGTACATCACGAAGTAAAAGGTTAACCAAAGGTTAAGAAAAACTAAACAGAAGGCTGTAAACCGGAACACAAATAATGGCCACAACACCACAAAAGCATCGACATTCACGCACACATCAATAAAAGCATATTAAAAAAAGGTTGAACGATATACTAATATTTCTCATAACTGTAACAGAGCTATATAAATAACTTACGAGCATACGTATTTTATACCAGTCAGCTACTTCCACGTAGGCATTATGGATCTTACGTCTTAGCTTCGTCGTGGACTGTTCATGTCACCCAACTTTCATTAAATGGGGCAGCGCTCTCTGGTACCGCATGGTTACTCATCCGTACAATACCCGAAGCTTGGCCCAGTCGTCATGATTAACCTCGTGCTGATGCGTATATGTATTCCTGTATAACTGTATCATTGTTAAAGATGTGTTCTACAGCTTTGGTTGTACTGCACTAAGTTAGGATGTCATCTGTGCGAGAATGATTGATTCCTGCTAATGAATTTACGATTATGTTGATCACGCTTCATAACAATATCAGAGACCATAACACAATTCAGTCCTGAAATTTAACACTATCTCTCTGTCGAGGCGAACAATAGCACAAGTAACTCTGACTAAAAATTTATAGCAAGAGCCTTTTGAGTGCATGTAAAAATACAAAAAAAACAATTGTGCGTGACATGAGTAAAATTCTCGTATCAACATCACATTGTATTGTAATGAGCTCCTGTTTCTTTCAGCTATTTATATGTGGACCCCCGCTAACGCAGTTATTAAAATTAAACTTGTCTTTGGACTTACCAAAGCCTATATAATTTAGTTTGTTGTGTTTGGGTGGCTGAGCGAAGTCGCTTCTTAGTTGATGAAGTCTCTCGTTCGGTATCGTTATCCTTTCAATTTACCCCAAAAATTTTTTGAAACTTGTGCCAACGTTTTATACCCTATGAGAGTTTTTATATCGTGACGGTAAGTGAATGTAACAATGAAAAAATATATGAAATTCCGAAAAACCAAACGCTTCAAGCTCAAAGAACCTCTTTGTCCTATTCAACACTAAATTTGTGTATTTTACTTATACTCTCACCGCAACGTCTGAAACATGCTTCACAGAAGCATTAAACAAGCTTTCAGTGCCTAAATACATTTCATGAAGAACTTGCTGACCGCATACTGTATATTTTTAACGTTAGGATCCTGTCACGACTGATAGGTTTTTTTTTCTAATTTCACGCAATGCGTTACGAACACCAGTGGCGGCAGCGGTGGCGGACAACTACGGCGCCGCGCGAGACCAAAATTGTGATCTAATAACAGCTTTCGCTGTAAAATCAGCATGAAATAGGTTTGCAGAATGCACTGACGCAGTCGTGTACGAGCTTTTATTGGCATTGGCAATAGTTACCTGAGTCATAGTGAAAAATGCATTAACGAGCGTTTAAAAGAACGCTGCTGTGTTAAAAGAACGTTGCATGTATTGCAGTAATCCAGGGACCATGCAGTGCAAGCGATGATGCTTTTACCGCGTGTATGTAAATTTTTCAAGGTTGCTTGTGCCGTCAGAGGCCAGTTATCACATGAAATGATCAAGACTCAACTGATGGATGGGCTGGCGAATAATAGTGTTTCTAAGCCAGTAATTAACAGGGTTCTAATAACGTGTTGCAAGCCGAATAATGGTGTTCCAATGGTGTTCAGATAACGGTGTTTCAAGCCAGTCAAAGGTATTTTCAAACCAGTCTGAACACACTAGTTGGCACGTGGTACAATTTTGATTGATTTGTGGGGTTTAACGTCCCTAAATCACCTAATGATTATGAGAGACACCGTAGAGGAGGGCTCCGGAAATTTGGGTCATCTGAGGTTCTTTACCGTGCACCACAATCTGAGCACACGGGTTTACAGCATTTTCGTCTACAACGAAAATGCAGCCGCCGCAGCCACGATTTGATCCCGCAACCTGCGGGTCAGCGGCTGAGTACCGTAGCCACTAGATCACCGTGGCGGGGCCGCGGGAGAATTCGAAGTACGCCTTATTGCTTAGGTTATGGCGTGAACCAATAGCTTTCTCCTGACGACGTCGAGCTTCTGCATTACAACACTACAAACCCAGAACTGTAATAACACCATTGCAACATTCTAAACTAATTTGCGGGTATGTTTGTCTGGTGCAAAAAAGTGCTGCATTTGCGTCACATGGGTCCCGCTGCTGTGAGTGTAGTGGCTAAGGTACATGGCCGCTGACCCTCAGGTCGCGGGAGAAACCCCGGCTGCGGCGGCTGCATTTTCGATGAAAGCGAAAATGCTGTATACCGGCTTGCTCAAATGTGGGTGCACATAAAGAACACCAGGTGTTTAAAATTTCCCAAGCCCTCCACTATACGGTGTCTCTCATAATAACAGCGGGGTTTCGGGAGGTTAAACGCCACATTCAATCGCGTCACTGGAGTTTGAGCCTCGCTGATGTTATCGACCAGATAATATCACCTACGAAGCAAGTAGTATAAGATAAAACACCTTATTGCCATCAAACCGACATTTAGAGTGGAATGTGCGTACTTGCGGGCAGGCGGTCCTCCTATTTGTGGCGTTTAGCACGCCGTCCCATCCTTGCAGAGGCTCAGGTGGACGAAAGCGTAGTGCACCCATTGGTGGCTGCGCGTACGGAATGCCACGGTACACCTCCAAAGGACGGCCCAATACGTTGGTACGGCTTCCACCAACAACGCCAAGAGCGGTGACCGTCTGTACGTCAAATGCTGTGACGGTTGAAACCAAGGCTAGAAAGAAAGGCACGATGACCATTGCCGACATCTTCAGGGCATGCTTTTGTCAGGTTCCCTGTAAAGCGGTGTTGCATGATCAACTTTCTATATCATCTAATCGCCAACTTCGAGAATGACAAAGCTCATTCCGAAAATATTGCGGCCTTCTGTTTAGGACGTACGGTAAACGAATTCGCGCGCTCTTTCACAAGCTGTAAAGTGGCAGTAAGCGAAGCACTGCGTATGCGTGCTATGGTTATTACAGCAAATGGCCTTTTGATCCGATTTGACAGAACCAAAATAAAATGTAAAAATTAACCATATTTAAAATGCTCGAATGCGCAAGAAAAGACGATAAGCAAAGGTCGAGTAGAATATTACACTTTTATTTCCTCGATGAATAGGTGAATGTTGTACCCACTGTTAAACATTGTGTGAACGACGAAGATAGTCGCTATCATCATTAGGGGATTAGACGGGTGTTAAGAAGAAAGAAGAAGTCAGTGGGTGCGCTTCGCCATGGGCATGGCGGCTCATCCATTCCTCAACATCTTGGTGCCGAAACAAGGGACCGAACCAGGGACCTTTAGATGTGGAGGCGCGGAAGATGTTACAAATTGTGCAGAAGACGAGGAGCGATGTTATCATCTTCGGGGAATTAGATGAATGTTGGCATTAAAGAGGAGGTCGACGGGTGGGCTTCGCCACGGGCACGGTGGCTCGTCTTTTTTTAACACCCACCTTGCACAATCACAGAGTAAAAGCCACCATTTTAGCCACTAGACATAAGCGTGCACATGGAGGTGTCACGAGGTGGGCAGCCCCCCCCCCCCTTGTAACCTAAGGGGGGGGGGGCGAAGTAAGTCAGCCGCACTCATTGACATAGTAGGAAGGTGGAGTGCTAGAACACTGCAACTCGGGAGCGAATTGAGGCTCATACATTGACCCAACACAGAGGGGTAAGTTGCGACACCATGGGCGAGCGTATTATTGTTCACTGCTGTGTCACTTCTTGATTGCGGAATATGTTCCGTCATGCGATTTTTGCGCGGATTGTTAGTTGCAACGTCGGCATGCTTGTCACCCACGATGCCACAGTGACCGTAACAATTCGAACCTAATTTTCCTGTCTTCTCGGAGAATGGAACTACCTGCCGCACAGTGCTCCTGTCGTAACAAGCCGTTCAGAATCTCTGAGAGCAGTGCCAAGACGTTCTAACAGTAACACCATCTTTTTATTGCATAACGGTGCTAACCACCTCTTACGAAACCTATCTGGCCAGAGGTTAAGGCATTAAATGTTATTAACTTCAAAGCTGATGAGCACCTATCGTTGGCGCTGATTGAGCTATTAGGTTTTATGCATTTGCCTATCCGTCTCCCAACCAATGCGATACTATACTGTAATAGCTATGCTGGCTCTTTTTTCTTATTTTTTAGTCTGTGAGTTCTTATGTCTTTATTTTTATGTCTACTTGTTTTTTATTCTATCTTTCTTTTCTTTTTTTTCTTTCTTTCTAAGTGTTTTCTTTTTTTCTTTTATCAATTTTCGGTCATTCTGAATCTCTTCAAACATGACAGCTCTTTTGTAAAACTCTCACACCACTCTTGTGCTCCACAAATTGAGGAAATTCCACTATTCCGAACGCCGGTCCAATTAAAATAACAACAAAAGAACACGCAGGTGAGAAACACGGATTAGGTAGCACACGTTTAAGCTTCACCTGATAACTACATATGCAGAGCGTTTGGGCTGTGATTGAGTGCGCGCTAGTTAATGATTATATGTAAATTTATATCTCTGAGACACGGCAAAGCTGAGGCGCCAGAGCTCAGCTTCACAAGTTTTTTCACCCATATTGACCCCGGTGACCCAGAGCGACAACTTGGCGATAAAGATGTTCCCATGTTAATCTCCTGGAAGCGAGTTCAGTCCTTGGTGCGGCACAGAAATAGCAGAATGTCAGTTTGCTCAGAAGTTGAGGGAAAGCAAAAAAAACCCCAAGGGTAGCCAAGAATATTTCTGAATCTCAACTAAGGCATACTTCATACCCACATCCTCGTTTTAGCATCAAAAACGCAACAGCTATAACTAAACTGATTCTCTCCGTCTATCAAAGCTATACCCTTCATCATCTTGCACAAAACTCTTGAAGCATATTTCAACATCATCTTCCAAAGTCAATCTGTAGAGAGGGGTGTAATAAAACTTTATTTCTTGTCCTTGCTGAAGTGAAGTGGAAGCCGGGAAGCTCGCTGTATACCATAAATTCTGACTTTCTCGACCGTCAATCTATCGATCGAAGTGCCTTGTCCTTTCATTTACTTTTTGACGACAAGGCGGCGTTTTTTTATATTCAATATAATATTGATTAAAGGGTCAGCTTGTTCTATTTGGTTAAGAAAACAGGCCGCTACACTGATGTGATGCTACAAATCATCAGGTGTGCGGCTGAGTGCCGCAGTTGATCATCAGGTCCACAATGCGCAGGCACGCAAAATAAATAAAATGGTTTCGCCACAACCTGTCCATCGCTTATCAAGACCGGCCACGCAATGTTGAACACGTGTTAATAAACGGCACCTGATCTTGGCAACTCATCTGCTTTTTTTCGCCCCTTAACCACACCGACATAAAAATCTGTCACAGAATTGCAGTCTGTCGTAGACGATTACATTGAACCGTAAAAGAAATGCGTGCGTCAATGCCGTTTCATCTCTATCAAGGTGCTTCAGCTGCACGGGCTTACCTTCAGCAGTGCGTTGCTACTCTCATGGAAACAGGTATTTTAGCCCAGAAAATAGAAGGCGGTAAACATGTCGACACTGCTCCATGTTCAAATCACTAAAAACTGCTGACCAAAATACTCCGAGAACGGACCGACTGAGGAGTTTCTTCTCAGCGAGCAATGCCAGAACCACGGGCGACATTGGCGGAGCAGTAACCACCGTTTTCCCGGTGGCCACGGTGGTGTGTCGTAGGCTCCCCAACAAAGAGATTTCTCCGTACTCCACGCGACCATCAGTCTTCCGTTACGCTCTCGACAGCGCTTTTGCATGTGAAAAGATATTGCTTTGGCGTGACGCAAAACGAACGAACGCCACGAGACGGTACACGTCATGTTTTCTCGTGCTCTCCTCTTCCGCATACGCTGCCTGCAAGCCTAGCGGCCTTTGCAGTGACATGCATTTTCACCTGTGCAGCTGGGTGAATGGATGTTTTTTTAGTTAGTGGTGAACGCACAACGAAGTGCCAATACTTCTTTTTTTGCATGACCAATTCATGGTCGTTTACAGGTCATGGTGCTCGATTGCTGCACCGCAGCCTGTGGGATCAAATCCGGGCCGCGGCGGCTGCATTTTTTAATGAAGCCAAAATGCTTGGGTCCCATGTGCTCCTGGTCAATGGCGTAGCCATGGGGTGGCACGCCGGGGCCATGCCTCTCGCCCCTAAAAATGTTTTTCGCCATGGCACACATAGCAAGAAGTGACCGTTCCAAGAGGGTGCGCACCCCTTTCCCCTTAATAAAGAAGGTGCATCCCCCCCCCCCTTTTTTTTCTACAGTTTTTTTGTATAGGTCTCAGATGGTCGAAATTTTCGGAGCCCTTAACAACGCGTCGCTCGTAATCATATCTAGGTTTTGGCACGGTAACTTCACACAATTATTATTAGTCGTTTTTTTAACCATCTGTGATCGAGCGAATTTATAAGTGCAGAGCTGTAAAACATAATATCTAGTCGCCCTTCACGTCTTCCGGCGTTGTGTAGAGCCTACTGGGCTCGACAGCTGACACGAAGGTCGCGCGTTCGATACAAGCTCTTGTGGGTGCATCTGCATAGAGGCAAATTGCAAGAAGCTTGTGTACTTTGCGTTGATAGTGGACGTTAAAAAACACGTGATGAGTAAATTTTCTGGGGCCCTCTACTAAAGAGTTCATAATGATATCATCACATTGAGTCGTGAACTCCAAGAGATAACACGTATTTGTTTATTTTGACATACTGCAGCTCAGTCACAAGGATATAGCAGGAGTGGGTACAAAAGAAAAAATGAGAAAAAAAATGCGACCGTCGAAAGCAGGTGAGTTTCATGAAAACAATTTCAGGCCAGAGAAGTATGAAACATTTACAAACATAACTATATGAAAAAGAAAGAAATGACAAGCAGTGATCGGGGTATGCCGTTTTTTCGTGCCTTCGAAAATTCAACTTTCCTTAAGGAACGAATGTGAGCTGGCATGGATTTGAACATATATCGGGAAAGTGCGCGATGATGAAACATATACCCTGACTTCATGGCGTTTTCTGGTAGACGTTTTTTTTGGCAGGAATTATATAGCTTGTGCGATGAACTTTTATTCAAATTAAAGAGAGAGTGAAAAACTTTGAGTGGCCTAATATCGCATCTTTTGGAAAATGAGGTTAAACCAACTTTTAGAAGGGGGGGGGGGTAAACAACAAGAGGGAAGGCAGGGAGGTTAACCAGGCACATGCCCGGTTTGCTACCCTACGCTGGGAGAATAGGAAGGGGGCATAAACTTTTAGAAAGATGCATTAAAAATGGTGAGGAGAAATTAAAATCATAGCATAATAAACGAATTCAATGGATTTTTAGCGAATTGATAATAAGCGTAATTATATTAATTATGTGAATTGTATATACTTACTTACAAGGTTCTTGTATGCTAGCAGTTTCGTTTGTTACGGGGCTAAATTTCTTGAACGCCTAAAATATCCGAGTTTTTCAGATGCTTTCTTGCAAGCTATGTTGCAAGTTAGGAGTAAAAACGAAACCGATGTACATTCACTGTGAGACCCACTGCCCTACGTCATTTTTAAACGAATTATTAAACGCTGATGAAGTTTTCTATCTCATAAAACACGTTGAAGCTGTCTTTTAAAAATGATCCCTCGGAATTCAGGAGCACGCAAGAACTCATCCCAACTAGAATTTTATTAACATGGGCACTAGTCATAGGTCCCAGGAGAGTTTGTGACATTTAAACGAACGATTGTCAAAGTGAAGATAGCTATTTTCACGAAGCACGCGATGTTAATAAAAAAATCAT